TTTTTATTGGATAAAATACCTCTCCTTCAACATCCAAGTGCTTATCAGCCTCGATCACTCTTTAACTTGGGAGCAGGCAGGTCTAACAGAGAGGTTAATTAAATGCTAATTTAAAACTCATGCTAACTGTATGGGGTGTTGTCAGTGTCATTACTGAAGATTATTTCTTAAAATGAAAACTTGGATGACATGACATTTGACATTTTTGGAACATTGAAGAGGACTACTACACGTGTGCTACATCAAAATAAAGCCGACAGAACAATAGAAGAAGTAGCAAAGTGTCAAAACTAGAAAAAGACAATAAATCGGCCCAATAAATGGACTTTTTAGCATATCAACTATTGCTTTAAATCTCCAGCACAGGCCAGTATTTAGTTTTGGGCAATCTGCTGCCTAAAAAATACACACAAGCTTCATATTAACACTTCAATTCAAAGACGCAGCTGCACAAAAAGTGAATATATACAGCTCTCTTAAAAGTTTGTAGTAAAAAGAATGCCTGTGGTTGAGTTTGTAGTAAATATAAGTTGCATAATTTGGGGAAAAATAAACAAAACTGGCCCTAGATAGCAGCCCAAAAATATCAACAAATCAAACATATCACTTGATCGCTTGTTAATCCATTCACTAAAAGCATTATAGACAGTAGTAGATGAAAACCCCAAGCTCACAGGCTTTGGTATAAGTTTTGACCAAGATACTTTGGCAGCTGTTTAAGAGAAAATTCAAGGTCAAATTGCAACAAGTCAGCTGGAGAAACCATGCTCACAGACTGGAGGGCATCAGAATCAAATGTTCGCATGACATGAAGCTTAAGGGCAGCAATCAAAACAGAAAATCTGCTGGTGATGAGATAGAAAATGTCCTTCTGCATTCCATCAGCTTAAGTTTTTTTTCATGTATATCCGCTATCCTTTATTTATCCTTCAATCACCCTGGCCCCTCTCCCCATTTTCAGCATGTTATCTCCCTCTCCCCCACTCTGCTCACCCAAACACTTTTTTCCTCTCTTTCATCCTCTTTCCATCTGCTTCCTCATCCTCCCACCATCCTTTTTGTGTCTCTTGTCTTTGGGACATTTCTCTTAGTCCTCTCTGCCCCTCCCTCTCTCTCTCTCCCTCCCTCCACCCCTCTCTTTCCCCTGTGATGAATGAGTCTGTCTGTTGGGTGCAGTTCATATTTACTGAGCAGGGAGGGCACACTGTCAGTCTCAGGCGCTTGCCACATCTCTATCCCCTTCGCTAAAGAGACAGAGGGTCCAAGAGGTTACGGCGGGATGAGAGGAGGAGGGAGGTTGTGGTCAAAAGATCCACTCCGCTGGTCGCCACTGTGCCAAATGACTGGTTGGGGAACACATGGGTCTTGGCCAGTGGCGTTTCTTTTATTATTGTGCGTGTTGGTTAAGGGAGAGAGAAATCTTCCGTGCCTCTTTACTAACCTGTCAACGCAGTGATACTAATAGGGAATAAACAGTGTTTTTCGATCCCTTTATGTGTAACTCCGCAGCCCACTCTCCACACGATTTAATGGCGCTTTTCTCGTCTTCCTTTGTGTGAGCCATGCTTTTAGGCACATTTGGACTTGAGACGAGAGGAGTAAAGTCGCTACCAGCTGCAGCTTTCGAAAGGCCCACAAAATACCCGGTTTCATGTACGCCCACACACACTAGTGTGTTGCGGAGAGTCAAACAGTGTGTTTTGACCCGTGTTCTGACCCCTTCATGAATGAGAGAAGTGCATGTGGGCCTGCCGGAGCCCAAAGGGACAGATCGAGAGCCGCAGCAAAGCCCTGCAGAGCCACCTTCTCTTCCCACACACTGACCTCCGAGGCCAGCCAACACCAAAACTACCGTAGCGCGACGACACCAGTGACATCCAGCGCCAACGCAAGCAGGGCGTTCCACTGCCAAATTGACAAAATATAGACAGTAAATACAAGGAAAATTGGATAGCTCAAATTACATCACAAAAAGAAAATCCCTGCAACTGGACCGTTATAGGACCCAATATGGGGTAATTCAATCCTCTCTCTGTCACCTAAAACACTACCAACACTCTGTCAAGAGGTGAAGATTGAAAATGTGTTTTGCCACTTGGTATTGCAATAAGGAAGCATTAATAAATGCTTTGTGTTTCTTGTAGCTGCTATATAGGCTCATGTGCTGTGCCTATGTTTAGTCTGATGGCACAAAATGTCCTTGAAACACCAACATTATGACCAGTGAATGGGAGTAGAGGAGAAATAAGAGCTGGGAGGTAAAGACTAAAATTCTAAAATTAGGGAAAGAAAGCATCATGCCATCAACAACAAAATATTGCAGAAAATTGCACAGAGGAAAGGTGAAAATTGGATATGGGTGAAGATGTCTAAGGCGGGGAGAAAGCCTGTAAATGTGAAACAATGACCGATATCAAAACGGATGGAAACAAATAAAGGGCCCTCTGGACAAATCAGTGCTGTACAACATCCCTTTGTGGTGGTAAAAGCAGGTTTCAGCAGAGAAATCACAGGCGTATGATGACAGAGGAGGCACTGTATGTTTACTGTGACATCCTCTATTCTGTGCACAACCCACAACCACACACACATCCCAAGTTCATGAATAAGACCCAAACTTTTTCCCTTTCCTATTCTCAGTCAGAAACTTGCCTTGCACAGGTATCCATTTCCCCCTGGTGACCGAACAGGGGAACTGCGGTTTCATTGTGGCTCTCGGATGGGAAGCCTCATCTAGTCTGGAGCTGGAATAGGCCCTTTTGACGGTGATGTATCCGGCTATCAGGCACCAAACGATGACACACTGCACAGAGAAAGTAAACACTAACACCTGCATTTGCTAGGATACAATCTCTGCTGCCTTGTTTTTGAGTGCAGCTTTGCCCCCCTAACTCCAGCCCTAGATCATATTTGTCCATCTGACTGCGACGCCGATGGAACATTCCAAAAACGTCTGCCATGCAATCTATCTCAATTTTAGAATCTATTAACTTTCTTTGTGCGGCCTGCCTCTCCCGGAGCCCGATCTTTAAAAACCGTGGTTGTTCAACAATTATGATAACTGCAACAGGGGGAATTAGAGGATCCACCCATTCATCTCTCTGCCCCTCCTCCGCACAGACATGACGCGGCTAAATGAAAAATGGACACGCTTTAAGAAGTATTGATTCCAGCTTTAAACAAAGGTACAGTCGATATTATTTACTCCTAAATATATCTTTGTTATCTGTGCCGGAGCCGTAGTTACTGCTCTGTCCTCGTAATTGCGGACATAAAAATAATAGACCAATTCCCGTCGAATTGACCAAGACAAGTTTAGTTGTAGGTCTCGTTATAAATGATAAATGTCTTTACAATTAAAACTTAACAAGAAAAATCACTTTTAACCGCAAACAATAAAATTAAAAACAATATTAAAATGCACTTTTACATGCTTTTCTGTTATATTTGTGCACTTTAATTCTTTTGCAAAAAGTTCACATTGGCGTAATTTTGTGGGGTTGTAGGCCTATTATGTAAACTATTCAACTTATATGAGGCTTGAGTGCTCAGAAAATTGAAAATGTTTTTACCTACCCCCTATCTCCGCCCATTGGCCTATACTTTAGAGTCTGGATAATACAGGAAAATAAAATTTTTCAACAATATAATTACATAACTAAAATAGATCAATACTGTGATTTTTTATATATATTTTATATATATTATATATATATATATAAATATAATATAATATAAATTTTTAATCTATGCAGGTTATAGCTTAATTCTAAATGTCTGAAAAGTGTATATTATGTCTTCTTTAACCTGTTTGCTCTGAATCCCTTTGAACAATTGGACACTAAGAATATCAGACAAAAACGGTTGGTGGCTGTACTTACTGCTAGAAATGTAGAAAGGTATCATGGGCCAACTGTGGGTCAGTGGATGCGGCCAATGTCTTCCACTGAAAAAAATTACATATGCCCTGAGGAGCAGAAAGGGAGATTTCAAGGTGTTTCAGAGCTTTCATTTAGTTAATTAACATTTTTAACGTGAGTTTGCTGTGTTTTTTTTTTTTTTTTAATGGGCACTGTTTTGTGTTTTTTTTCTTTTTTTTCATGCTAATTATTAATCTGTGGCCTTGAATATCACACCTGGGTATGTTATGTCCTGTTTAAAAGCTTGTACTCTTATTTTCACTGAACTAACAAGATTAAGATTGGTGTTCAGGTTGAGATGTTAATACTTTGCCTAGAATTTTTCACAGTGTAGCACTTTTTAAGACAAAGCAATCACATCTCCATCAAGACTACCTACACTTAAAAACATGTTTGAAATTCAATCAAAATACTAAAAAGAAACATATAGAGAGGTTTTTGTTTCTGAGATTAGACAAGCTAAATTATATTTGTATTTGTGTTCAAGAGAAAGGGAGAAATCTGTCACTGCTGAACACCAACCCCCACAAAAAAACTGGTAATGTAATGCAATAGTTTTGGAGACAATGAGAGCTGGCAATGTCATCATATTAATAAATAATAAAATAAATACATATAGTTAATTATTTTCGCTTGTAATAACAATCTCACTAAGGAACAACTATATTTATACTGGGCAATAAAAACTATGAGTAACAAAAACAAATAAAAAGTATTATTTAACAGAGCATTTATTAAAGCTACCATCTGTAAGACTATTTGATTTTAACCAGAAGTTGGTAGATGTAAAATCTATCTTTAAACAAGCAGGGCCAAATCTCCTTCCAATTGACCTGTCATGTTGTACTGATGACATAGTGGGCCCCTCATTCTCCTTGTTTTAAAAGGGACATATTTCAGGGTTTCTTTGTTTTGTACGGTTAAGAATTAGCTTTTGCATGTTTCAAGGGGTTCCCCAAGATGGACTGTATACTATTCTTAAGTTTGAATTTCAGAGTATCATTGCGCCAAAGGAAAAAGGGCAGAGCATTGCACTGTAAGCTAGGCCAACCTCAGGACATGACATTAATGCAGAAACAGTTTGGGATTTTGATCTCTTAAATTTTATTGATAGCATGACATGTTCAACAGAAACTGAACTTAATGTTGTGTCATTCAAAGTAAACCCTGGTCTGTTGGACACATGTCTTGTACTCTACACATCTACAAGTTTTATTGTATATTTGATATGCATCATTAGCTCTGAACTTCATATAGGTTAAAATAAATGCTCACTACATAGTTATGAATGCAAAAAACAATATAATGCAGCATAGTTTACATGACCTGCATTTGAGTACTTCTGATCTCCACGTTCAATAACACTTTGCCATGTGCCCAGAGAGGTGATGAGAACGAGCAAACCTGCGGTGGCAGATGGGGCAGACGTAAGGTTTTTCTCCAGTGTGAGTCCTTGTGTGGGCTTTCAGATGGCCTGACAAACGAAACGTCTTCCCGCATTCTTCACATGTGTAGGGGCGCAGGTCAGAGTGAATCCTGCGGTGCTTGCCCAAGTCACCAGAGGAAGTGTAACAACGATGGCACTCTGGGCATTCAAAGGGCTTCTCTCCTGAGTGAATTCTCTTGTGCTTCACAAGGTCTCCAGACTGCACAAAACTCTTGTTACACTCATTGCACTTATAGGGTCTTTCTCCCGTGTGAGTGCGCTGGTGGTTTCTGAGATGTGTGAGGCGAATAAAGCGGTTTCCACACACAGTGCAGTGGTACGGCCGCTCGCCAGTGTGTGAGCGCAGGTGTTTTCGTAAAGCTCCGATATCTCCAATCTTAAGCCCACAGTCCCCACACTGATGAGCCTTCTCAGTATTGTGTACTTTACTGTGAATTCTCAGGTGTCTACGCATTCGAAATGTCTTTGAACACACCGGACACACAAAAGGTTTCTCATTAGAATGAGTTTTTATATGTTGATTTAGACTTGCCTTTAGTCCAAATTCTTTGCCACATTCTGGACAGGAATATTCTTTCTTGCCTGTGTGCGTGGTCATGTGGTTGTTAAGGTGATGTGAACGTAGAAAGGTCTTCTCACAAACCTCACATTTGAAGGGTCTCTCCCCTGAGTGTATTTTCATGTGGTGACTCCAGGCACTACGCTCTACAAACCTCTTGCCACAGTCCTTGCAGACATAGGGTCGAGCCCCTGTGTGAGTACGCATATGTACCTCGAGGCTTTGAGGTGTACCCAGTATTTTGTCACATTTGGAACATTTCACCCCAGTGTCCACACAGATTGGCTTATCTTCATCTTCCTCATTGTTGGGTTCATTGCACAAATGGGGCCCTTGACCCCAGGTTTTCCTAAAACTCTTCCCACAATCAGCACAACTGAGATGCCCATCTCTTGTAGTTACAGACATATCGTGCCAACTTTGGCAGTGATTTTTCAGATTCTTCAAATATTGAAAACTGCGAGCACAGGTTGGGCATGGGTACAGTCTTCGAGGAGGAGGAGAGGGATGAGCTGTCTTGACATGGTTTCTAAGCTCCACTTTAGATAAGAAACTGCTGCTGCAGATGGTACAGATATGTTTAGGCAGATCTAGTGATGAAAGACAATTTTTTCGAACGTTTTCTCGATATTGTTTTTGGTGGACCCATTTGACATGCTTCTCTAAAAAGCCAAGGTCAGTGAAGGAAACATCACAGTATCGACATGGATAGAAGTCTGATGATTCTAACAAGGAAAAGATACAAACATGTTATTTACCACCAGGTCAAATACAAAAGTCAACTCATGTTTTCCAAAACAAATTATAAAAACTATTCAGTATTTACTTGAATCTACAGTGTTTTTGTTTTGTGTTTTTTTTATTTTTTTTTTGGTCTCAATGTGGAGGATCAAACAGGTCAAACTCTAAACAAGGTTTAACATCGTCACTCTTACCTGAGCAAGCTTCTTCCTTTAAGTCGACGTTTTGGGCGCTGCTGCAGCAATCCTCCGTGTCCCAGTCTGGGTCACTGGTCTCCTCTTTTACTCTCGTCTCTGGGTCTTGCTTGCATGTCGTAGTCCAGCTACAGTCATGATCTCTCGAGCCACATCTGGAGGACAGACCATCAGAGTTTGAGTCCAGGGTGTCGTTTATTTCTCCGTGTTGTTTCTCGTCGATTTCATGCAGTTGAGGCTCTTCCTTGATGTGGATATCAAGATCACCTTCACTGATGCACGTATCATTGAGATCTTCCTCTAGCTCACATTTGATCTTCTTGACTGTTGTCATCTTTTAGAATGTTACTTGTTCGCTATAGAGAACAAGGAAACAATGCAGTAATTTAACATGCCGCATCAAGATGAAACACAAAAAAATGTTAAAGTTGTGAGTTTACATGATTACTGATTACATGTGTGCTAGCTTTGGCTAAGTTGCTAGTTGCAAGCTCATGTTGCATGAAAATTGCCACGTGCGTGCAGCTACAAATAAGAGTAATTTGAATGAAGACAACACCAACCTATGTGTCATGGATCCATTATTTGATTTATTAATTGTGGCCCGGTTCTTTTCTGCAGGTCATAAGGCGCTTCCAGCGATATAAACACAGGAAGACGATTAGACTTCCTTTTGATTTTTAACCAATCAGATGAGCAGGTCCCTGTTGCCCAGGTAACAGCTCAGAACTGTTAAAGGGGCAGCCATGGAGTAGATGACCCAATAATAATAATTAAAATCATTAGCTGTTCATAAAATACACACAAACAGAAATAAAACACACTTGTTTCATATAGATTTTATGACCCTAAAAAGAGTCTGTACTATGCACATTTTTTACAACACTGCTCCCTTATTTCAAAGCACAAATGTATGTACAAAATATGGTAGGCCTATGTAACAGAACATTCACAATAAAAGTAATGCTTATTCTTCGAGGGCTGTGAGTGGGTGACTTGATGATGTTACAATAATTTTGGGAATACTTCTGACTATCCAAAAGCACCTCTCACTGTTTATGGTGAATGATCATCACCTACTCATAGTATTTCATATGAAATTAGGGGCTATCTGCCTCCATGCAGTGCAAAGTAGATAACAAAAAGAAAATATAACAGTAACAAAACAGTGAGCAAGTTCAGTCTCTCTATTAAAGCAAATTAATTGCTGTCAAGTTTCTCAATATTTCTCACCAGGAGAACAAAAACTCAAAAGTATTAACAGTGTAATTACACAGACTAAGAACATCCATTCTGTGTTTTTGTAATACCTTTTCTAGCTAGGTATGATTAGTAGCTATGGTTGACGTATGCAATCATCTACAAGCAGGGTACCAGCAGAAAGCAGCTCAGATAAACTAGCCACATACCAGCAACAATGTGATCACATACTAGAAAATGTCACATTATTTCTTCACTTTTACACACACTTTGCAAATAACTGCAGCCAGTTGACTTACTGACAAGGCAAGAAGTGATTGCAGAATAGCAAAAAAGAAAACAAATAAATTAAGTTACAGTAATATGTAGAGATTTAAGTGTGTTCAACGAAGCGTCTGATGTCACACAGTAAATTCTAAATCTCTTGACCACCATTTCTCTTGCACTGACAATCAAAAGCCTCACCATTTTCCTGAACAAGTCACTTGTTTGAAATGGTACTTCTGATTGTCACTTCCTTGTGTATAAAGCACATGTTGGTTTTTATGCAAGCAAATGCCACTCACATCAAACAACAGTCCAGCCTCAGCCTGTCTGTGAGGCTGACTATCAGGCATGCCCTCTTGCACATGTTATTAAAGATAGGATGCAACTTGTTTGTTGATTAACTTAGCAGTTGAAGTGCATTGTAGAGACAGCCGGCTTGATCAAGCGAAGCAGTCAAATACAGTTAAGCAAAACAAAACAACAAAAAAGACACTTATTACAGTGTGTACAACTTTGTTCATAATGCTAACAACAGATGCTGACCTAGTTTTGACCTTGTTTCCTTCAGAGATGCATTTAATATCTATAAACACTTCATTTTCATATAGCTTACATTGCCATTGTGGTTAGGTGCTGATGCCCAAGTAGACCCTTGCGCCCTGCTCCTGCCCCTGGATGTCCCCCATTGTTGCCATGGCCACAATATTCTTGCAGGTTTTGGCGCAGGGTAACTAGTGCTGAGCCCAAACAGGCACGATTTGGGGCCAAGAGACCCCCAGGCAGCTGAAAAAGTACAGTGGCCACGCCAGCCATGCCATCATCTGTGGGCTCTAGCGTGATAGGCCCCACTTTAAAGGAGGAGTACGAAAAGCCCATGAGCTGGGATAGGAAGGGGTCAGAGCGGCAGAAGTGCTGATAACCACTGTATGTGGACGGATGGTGGTGGTGGGACCCGGGGGTGCCTGATGCGGTACTGGCGTAGTGGTGGGTGTTCAGGTAATGCAATGGTAAGTGCTGTCCACTGTTTCCACTTCCACCTAAGGCCAGGTGATGGTGATGATGACCCGTGGGTCCAGAGCCTGGTTCGTGTTTATAGGTGACTGCTCCTGCACGACCTCTCTGCCCCAGCACAACACCCCCTAATTTGCTTGTGCGAGCATGAGTGAGAGATACAGTAGTGCCCCCCACACCTCCACCTGCGGAAGGCAAGTATACAAGCTGGGGCTCCTCTGGCTCCAAGTATATAGTCAGCTTAGCAAAAGGCCTTGATGCCATTTTGGTCATTTCTTGGATATGGCGACGCTGCTCCCGGCGGAAATCCAGAAACTGCTTAACTTTCCACAAGAGCACACAAACTGACAGGAACAGGAAAAAGCAGGAAAAGAAAACAGAGAAAAAGACAAAAAGGTCTATATGAGCTTGGTCCTGCCTCAAAAACAGAAGTCCCTGTGACTCTCCATATCGATCCTTCGTTCCAACCCCTTTAAGAGCAATGTAGAAACGACTGGATTTGAGAGAATGCACTTCATGGGGAAATGTTATGACCACTCGATCCCGAACACCACGGACAATTAAAACAGTTTGAGGTTTCCACACTGTGATGTAGCTAATAAGTCCTTCTGCTCTTTCCTCCCGAATTTCTCTATCTCCTCCAGGAGGCTTGGCCTGCAGCTGCAAGGGGTTGTGAGAAAGCACAGGACCTCCAAGGCTGGAGGATGCATTTGCATACACTTTAATAGGAGAGGGAGGAGAATCCTTGTCAATCCCAGTAGTTGTTAATCGAGTTGCAGATTCCTCTCCTCTGTCGATACTGATGGCATGAATACCTGTGCTGCGATCCACATCCACAATAAAGGTGTCATGGGAATTGGACACATACACTTCAACCTCACCAAATGTTACATCAATTGTGACCCGAATATCAACATTAGTGAATTTTGGTTGGGCAGCAAAGAACACAGTGCGACCCATTGGTAGATTACGGATGCTGGGATCATGAAAACAGTTTGTCTGTGATGTTGGGTCAAAGCAGCACTCCGTGTCAACATTGAACTGACGGTAGCATTGTCGGCCATTTACAGGAGTGCCGTTGAAAGAGTCCTTGCATTTGGCACACTGTGGACAGATAAACAGCAAAACAAAAATATTGCCCATTAGTTTTATAAAATATAAAGCTAATTAAATTGGACAATAATACAAGACGGACACATGCCTGTTGCCTGTAGCAATCTTTGCGATCACTTTGTGAGCTACTGAGACAAGACGATGTCTCAGTGTTGTTTTGACAGGGACAGCCAGTGCCGTCATGTTCATTACATGTGTCTGCATGCCCATTACACTGACATCTGCAAAACATAGGTGAAGGACAAAAATCTTTATGAAGCAATTCAGTTTTTTTTTTTACCTTGTGACTCTTTTCAACAAAATGTTTAACTCACTTTTCACATTTCCCCTGCAACAGAAAGTATCCACTGAGGCAGCTCTCACACTGGTCCCCAACACTATTGTTTTGACAGTTTACACACACTGCATTTTCTTCTGTTGGGCCCTCAGAGACCCATTTCTGAATCTGAAATGAGAATAAATGTTAAGACTGTATGAAAGACTTTAAAAATCTTTGAAATAGGACACAAAAACATACACTGCTTGGATCCAGAGAGAACAGCCTGGGATTTTCCTGGGCCTTCTTAAGCTCATCATGTGATAGACATATTGCACTATTTCCTCTGCAAAATTCTCGACAAGGACGACAAGTTCCTCCCCCTTTGGCAGAGCCCACAAACAATGGCTTGCACTTTTCACAGTGTTTACCCTAGGCAAAGAAAAAAGAATATTAGGAGCAAATTTGTGTTTGAAACTGTATTTTAGGGCAGTCCCAAATAAAAATCTTAAGACTGAAAATGATTTACAAATATTTCAGTTCTATTTCATTTCAGTGAACCTGTATCCATGTGATTACAACCCTGTGTTCAGGAGCATTATGCCAAATTAAACACACCTGTGGGTGCGCACTACAGCATATATGAATGCCACGTGTACGTAAATACACTCACCCTCTTTCTATTCTCCTGGTTATTGAGAACTTATACCAGGTGGCTAGAGATGTTCGCTGTTCTTCTCGCAGATCCTCACGGATTTGGGCTGCTCCTTATGTAGCATCCCTCTGGCTTTCTGTGTGAGTTCTGTTGCAGTTTGATGAGTATTTTCTCTCCTGGTTCCCAGTTGCAAACTTTGCTATCCCAACCTGGATAAGACCGCTTTGTTGGATGGTTATGACGAAGAGCAGGATGTTTTGCTAAACGATGCTACTGGAGAAGGACATTCATCTGAGAGTGGTGACTTCTCCATCAAGGCCCTGCTCACTTGAGTGGCTGCTGCTGCGGGCCGGCAAGCCACATCCTTTTGCCTGTGTATTCAGATTTTGTTTCCCGTCTCAAACAGTCGTGGGCACGGCCGAGAGAAACTTTACCTCCCTGCTCTGCACTAAGTAGGCTTCATGGTGCTGCTGAGCATGGATCAGATGGGACCATACAGGTGGGACCTTCGTTTGCACTCCTGGCCGGGGCATCCCATCACCCATATCATCACCCTTCCTAATAGGAAGTGCAGGGCCACTGATGGCTTTTGCCACAACTGCCATGGCTGCTAGACTGGCAAACACCAATTCTCTTCTGCTTGTGTATCTGGAGGGTCTGATCCGGGATCTGAGTTCTAAGAGTCCATCTGAACTCCTGCCTGAAATTACTAACATCATGGATACAGTGATTCAGGGAGCAAGTACTCAAGCCAAGGTCCTGGGTAACTCCTTGACTTATCTCGCCATGGCCAGGCACCACATTTGGTTGAGCGGGACTGCTGTGTCATAGGTGGAACATGCTGCTCTTTTTAGTACCGGCATTTCGCCTGGTCATGTGTTTGGCCCAGCTGCAGAGGCAGCCTTAGATGAAGCCCAGAAAGTGCGAATATGTGGTCAAACCAAGACCAATCAGGGGCTCTTAATGTTGGGTCCTCAGGTAGCCCCAGAGAGACGTACTGGCCCTCAGAGACCTGTCGGTCAGGGTTCCTCACAGGATTCTCGAGGTGGTAGACAGACCTTTGTCCCCCAAATGGGCTGACAGAGGGTCTGTGTTCGCTCCTGGGAGTGCATTGCCCAGGGTCTGCCCAAGTCTGCTCACCATTCCTGACTGTATTCTTCGGCTTGGGTCGAGATTTTCAAGCACCCATCTCAGCACTTGTCATCAGTGCCCATGGGTGCTGAAGACCCTGGACTGCGGCTACCACCTGCAATTCCTCCCCTGCGATCCACACTTTCGAGGCATTTTATGGACAAAGGTGGGAGACAAGTTTCTTTCAGGAGTACTTGCCGACGAGATCATGGCCTTGCTTTTCAAAAAGGCCGTACGCCTGCTGGATCCACAGAAGGAAAATCAGAAGTTCTACTCCCCGTACTTCCTTGTTCCAAAGCGCACGGGTGGTTTTCGCTCCATTCACAAATACCTTAAGGTTCTTCAGTTCAGGATGCTCAAACAGAAAGCACTGTTTCAGGCCATTCAAGCACTTGACTGGTTCACAACTGCTGACCTACCTGATGCTTATTTTCCTGTGCCCATTCACCTGTTTTTTCATACCTGTGGTTTGCATTTCAAGGTGTGGCTTATGAGTACAACATGCTCTTGTTTGGCCTGTCCCTGTCACCTCGAACTTTCAGAAAGTGCAAATAATGTTGCACTCTCCCCTCTTCGGAGGAGGGGTATCTAAGTGTTGAACTATTGGACAATTGACTGATGTGCGCTCAGTTTCTAAGCATGGCTTATGAGCACACTACAGTTGTTCTGGACCATCTGACTTCTCTAGGTCTTCACTTGAATGCAGAGAAGAGCCACCTAGTACTGAGCACCTTGATGGAGTATTTGGGGCTGGTTCTCAATTCTGACACAATGGGAGCCTGCTGACACTCAAGCGGGTGTTGGCCAATGCATAGTGAGCATGTTGCTCAGCGCACTGTGCCTGTTCTGCAATGCCAAAGACTGCTAGGTCTTTTGGCTGCAGGTTCTCAAGCAGGGCCTCTGGGTCTACTGCACACACGATCACTTCAGTGTTGCTTTGTGTTCAAGAGGCTTTCCATGCCCAGGGACAGTTTGAGGAAGATAACCCTGCCCCCTAGGCCTTGGGGCAGCCCGGGTCACTATAACTGCTGATGCATCCCAGACAGGCTGAGGCACTGAGGGAAGGTAGGTCTCTTTGAGGGACTTGGGACTCTGTATGACGAAGTTGGCACATCAAACTCCTTGAGATGGAGGCTGTTCATCTGGCACTACAGCACTTCCTCTCAATAGTGAGAGTCAAGCAGGTGATGGTATGGTCAGACAACACTGCAGTGGTGTCTTACATCAATCATCAGGGCTGTCTGAAGTCTCTGTCCTTGCATGCCACGCCATGCCAGCTCCTTCTGTGGACCCAGCCAGAGGGCATGTCTCTGAGAGCCTTCTACCTTCCTGACCTACTCAATGTTGCAGCAGATCTATCTAGGGGTGCTCCTCACCCCGGCGAGTGGCACTTGCACTCCCAGGTAGTGGAACAGATATGGTGCCACTTCAGTCAGGCCTCAGTGGATCTTATTGCGACAGGACAACGCTCATTGTCCCCTGTGGTTCTCAATGAATAGCCCACCAGGGTTTCTGGGGACAGATGCCCTGAGCCAGAGCATTCCCTCCACTGTTTCTCACTGCTTGGCGGGGTGAGGTTGTTCTAGGCACAGGTTCTCTTAGTAGTACCAAACTGGCCACAGAGACCCTGGATGTTCGAGGTGTATGAGATGCTGGACAGGGAACCATGACTCCTCCCGACCAGAGTGGACTTGTCCCAGGGAAGAGGCAAGATCTGGCACACTCACCCTGAAGCCCTGAGTCTCCATGTATGGCCCTTGAATGGCGGCGCTGGTATGCTCTTGGCCTAAGCAGGACTATTGTTGACACCTTACATGCCGCACAGGCGTAATCCACCCAATGTCTGTACAGGTGTAGGTGGAGCGTGTTTGCCGGGTGGTGCCACAAGACTGGTGTGGACCCTGTGTCCTCTGACATGACTGTGGTGTTGTCCTTCCACAGTTTTTGAAAGGTGTTAGGAGGCATTGTCCAACCAGACGTCACTTCCACCATTCCCTCTGCTGTTTTAGGGGCTGTGATGGATTGGTGACTCTTTGTGTTTATTATTATTATGAGATCGCTCTATGTTTGCAATAGAGCTGCTCATGCTTTTGCACTTGTGGTTGATGCGATCACTTCTTTTATCCAATGGTGTGTCTTTGAGGGTGCCACCTCACCTTTCCCTTTCCTGTGACTGCTTTGGCATACTGTTGTCACATGGTTACAGGTTCACTGAAATGAAACAGTATGATTATTTACGTATGTAAACACGGTTCTATGAAAAGTGAACCTGCAACCGCCTTGGTCACGTGTCAGTGATTGGCTGGTTACACCCAGTCGTCACAAAGAGGGTGAGTGTGTGTAGCGCACACCCAGAGGTGTGTTTAATTTGGCATAATGCCGAGGGTTGTTGTCACATGGTTTCAGATTCACTTTAATTCATACAACCATGTTTAGATATGTAAAGAATCATTTTCCTTTTATGAAGAAGAAATAAAAAGAAATATGTTATATGCCATATGTTCTAAATACATACAATTGTGTTGTTGTGACACTCAAGGCAAACATCTGGCTTGTTCACGCCTGCACAATTGCTATGTTTGTTGCAGCTACACTGAGAAGAGCAGTTGTCTCCCACAAAGCCAAAGTGACACTGACAAATTCCAGGAGAGACACATGTCCCATTAACACAGCCTTGGGCACACACTGGCTCACACTGGCCTGAAACACTGTTAAAAAAGGTAACACATTTATTATTATTCTGAAAATGATAATACAAGATAACTACTATGATATAACTTACCTGCTCAGGATGTACCCCTGCTTGCATGTGCAATGATATCCCTCTGGCAAGTCATGACAATCCTGGGTACTGTTACAATGGTGATGCCCATTAGCACACTCATCCTCCTTCGGACAGCGCAGAAAAGACCAGCTGCTGTTTCTCTGAGGACACACCCCCTCACTGACACCTGAAAATCAACACTGGTTTATTGTGATGTCACCGATTAAAAAAGTTCACAAACTGAACTGCTTCTACCCACCCTCGAGTCCACCTTGTAAGCAGCGGCCAGCCCCATTCCCTCCCTTTGCCGCACACCAACCACATTGAGGTCTAGCGATGCACTGTGAGCACTGAGTGAGCTGAGAGCACTGAGGAGAGCAGGAGTCCCCACCAGAGAGAAGACGACCACACTGACCCGCTTCGCATCGCAGTGGGACAAAAGACGGACTCATGCACTAAGAGGACAAAAAAATGGTTGAAAGTTGATCAACATCATCAAAATTGACAATCTACAAATATTTTGATTTGGTCCCACCTGCTGCAAAGCCATGCTCCATACACAGTGCTGCCAGCCCCCATCAGAGCCGCGCGAGCCAAGACAGAGGCTGCAATTTTGGAGGGTGTGGCAGGGTGGAGGGCATGGCAAAGGGGGAGAAGATTCCACTTGCATGGGGGAGACGTTGAGCAAGGCGTAGCTAAAGCACGTCCAGTCATATGTGGGGTTTACACTTAGAATTCTTCTTGTTTCACCTATAGAAATAAGAAGGTATGGTATTGATTACTTTTTCTGATGCAAAAAGGATAATGTAATAAGCATTAATAACAGCTTTCAATAACTACATTTAAGTTGATTATAGCATAAAGAGTGTAGGCAAGGTCCTGATTTTGTCCTGATATGAGTCCCAATTTAGTCCCGTAAAGCTGATTTGGTCTTGTCCTGGTCCTGGTCAAATCTAGATTTTGTTACGGGTTTATGGCCCTAGTTTTTATACTGGCATGTGGAACGCACTCTTAATGTCTGAAGTCTTTTGGGGGTATAGAAGCCCTTGTTATGATGAATATGCCAACTTTAAATCTTGAGCACCTGTGCGTTTAAACTGGCGTGTCCACATGCATTTCCCAGAGGCAGTGCACTTCGGGCAGTCAGAGGCTTCACAGCTAGTCTCGGTGCAGTTGCTGGACAGGAATATCTCTCTCTGGTTGATCCGACAGTCATGTTCAGATGTACAGCTCACCGAACTGCTGATACACGCACCCTCCGGACAATTTGTGCACCATTTGCACTGTAGAGCAGGCTGAAACAGTCAAAAAATATTATCAACTCATGTTTACTCATGTATTAATAGTGCTGGAGGTGGATTTATGTGCCTGAGATACCTGAGATGGACTTGTAAATGTCTTGGGATGCCTAGCAAGACATTCACTACAGGTCTTCAATCTTCGACACTGATCTCCCTGACGTGGGGTTGGGGAACATGGAGACTGCCCAGTGAAACAGCCCACTCTAAAAAAAAAAAAAAAAAAAGAAAGAAAAAAAAAAAATGGCTTCATATTTGTATGGAGCACAAAAAAAAATGTACAGTTCAATATATGGCTACCTCTCTGCAATATCTGAAGAGGCACAGGTTCCTCTACACCAGATACAACTGCCAGTAGTGGTGTTACAAGCATCTTGTGTGGGCAGAAGGGCGCAAGGATCCGCAGGGACAGTAAGAGTGAGTAGTCTTCCAAGGGTGACACCATTAAAGCCCCCAGACAAGAAAAGAAGACCACCCCAGCTGGTCATAGCAAGAGACACTGAACGATTTACTGGATCTCCCACAACAGAAACTGACAAAGCAATTCCGTAGAAGTAGTCAATTAATATACAGTAACAATTTTGCTTAGAATAAAAAATAATATTGAGATAAAAATGCTACCTGGTTGTATCCAAGTGTTACAGTTGATCTGGTACAAAGACACAGAGTTGCTGTAGTCCTCTGCTTGCGTCCTGCCTCCAACAATCACCATGGTGTCTTTAATTAGGGCAGCGGCATGGAAGAAACGAGACAGCGGCTGCCAAAAACATAATATTAAACTTGGTAACTCACTATTAAAATGTACACTGGTCATAGCAAGAGTAATTAACTTTTTACCTTGTTACCCTGTGATGGAACAAGTAAAGACCAGGTCAGGTTGGGATAGTACAAACTATAAAGTTCTCCTGAGGGCTCTACAGTCTCCACATGAAAGCGATAGCCTCCAAAAACATAGATTGCATCTGTTTGCTCATGGTAAACTGCTGAGTGGCCGTACAAACCTGAAAATTATGTACAAAGCATGTCAATACATGGGATTCATAGATATTAAAAATCGATCTACTATCTCAAATACCTGTAGGTGGTGTGCCAGTGTGAGGAGCAATAGTCCAGTTTCCAGAATAAGGGCTGAACTCAAGCAGATGATGGTTGAAGCCATTTTCTGGAGAGTAGCCCCCTATTAACAGCACAGAAGAGTTTCTACGGACTGTCAGAGTGTGACCTGCCACCGGGGGGAGAACTGAACTCTGTCAAAAGAAAATAAATATTGTGAATATTTTACACATAATGGTGATCTAACAGTAAATCAATCTGTACCACCAGTGTTGAGAGTGTTGTAAAATTAATGTTTTTACATTTTGTAAGATAAGATAATAGGGTAAATACCAGTACCAAAACAGCTACAATTATCTTAAAGTTTTAAGAATGAATAACAACTTTACTTAATGTGCGAACTTGTACTGAATGCACCAGATAATAAAAAAAAAAAAGAATCACTACCATTGCATAAAATGAGCTACATCACCTGCCAGTTAGATTAAATAAACATAGTAGTCAAATTCAAACCTTGTGCTCTCGCCAGACTAAGCTGCTGAGGTTTAAACTCCAAGTATCCATGGCAACACCACTGTGAGTGACCCCTCCTACGACCAGCATAAAGCTGTGACTTCCAGATCCAAAGTCATAGCTGGTCAACAGAGCAGAGGCATGATGATAGCGTGGGCTGGGAGTTGCACCCTCTTCAACTGAGCTAGTTAGCATCTGAGTCCAGCGATGCTCAGGAACAGTGTATCTATGACAACACATGATTACAGTTACAAACTTGTTCTTGAAAATAAAAGTCCAACTAGATTTCATGCAAAAATATACCTGTACACATTTCCCAGTATGCCTTCTGACAGTGACAGCCCTCCATACATCCAAAGATTACCTTGTGGTCCAGACAATAGAGAGTGTCCCATTCTTTGGAGAAACCTGTGAGCTTGGTTCTATTGAATATAAAACATAAAAATGTTTCAACTGTCCAAATAAAATGCCTGCATTTTATTTAACCAATGTTATACCGCTGTGAGTTGTGTGTCTAGCAGTGTTTCCCAAAGCAGACTGTTGGAGTCCCGAGGAACAGAGCAGTCAGAGCCAGCCCAGCTATGTGAACACATACAGACTCCCAAAGTCTGTACAAAAACAACATGTACTATGTATTATGTAAACATAAAGGAGTGAACAAATCGGGGCAAATATAAGTTAAATTTGCTTACCGTATTACAAATTCCTCGTCCATCTACAATGCCACAGTCATGTTGGCATATAGGTCGGTCACAGCGTGGTCCTCCAAACCCTTGTGGGCACTGGCAGACCCCTCCAACACACTGTGCTTCACCAGGGCAAACTGGTGCCTCGTCTTCAGTGATTGAGTCACACCGGTGAATCCAGAAGGAGGCATTGAATCCTTGAGGCTTGTTTGAAGAGACATTAGCTTCATAATAAACTGAAATTACACCTAAAGAAATAGAAAAGTTTGTCAAATAATCATCCCAAAACAAACAATTGCGATACAATAACAAAGTGGTATTTACCAGAAGTTGCCTCCACAGTTATGGGCTCAGTCCTGGTAGTACCACAAAAAGCCCCAATCAAATTGTGATCCGAGTGAACCACACCATTGGACAGAAAACGAGGCAAGCCATCAAAGACGTAAACATAAGAGTTCTGTAATACAAATTAAATTCAGTTAGAACATTGTTGCAAGTGCAGTGACAGTTTAATATGTCAGACAAGATAAAATGCATGTAAACTCAATACTACTCACTTTGCAATGTGTATGAGAGTCTGGGTGTAGAGTGAGGGCTACTGGGGGGCAGAGCTGTCGAGGCAAACAGGGGGCTAAGTTTGGTGTTACAGAAAGAACCCACAAGCAATGTGAAAGACCTCCTCTTCCTTCTGTACCACTTCGCCAGCCCAAAGAAGAGGACAGAGGAAGAGCTGTGGAGGTGGGTGAGAGCAGCACAGAACGGCCTTGACACTGGCGGTAGCATGTGCCATTATTTCTGTATAAAAATATATACATATAATTTAAAGAGAATTTGTGACAATAAACATTATTGTTGTGATTCTTTACCATTTTTCCAAATGCGTACCTGGGATCACCATAGTAGCCAGGCAGACAGGTCTCACAGTGAGGTCCCTGAGTATGGTGTGTACAGTAACACTGGCCTGTCTGGTTGTGGCAGTAGCCTCGCAGTGGGTCACCATGGCCATTACACTCACAAGGCACACAACCACCTCCTCCGGCCAGAGCTGAGCCAAAACTGCCTGGACGACAGTGCTCGCAGTGTGGACCTGTAGTCCAGTCTGAAAGAGACAGCAGAACTGCTTGACAGGACACTTAAGGTAACAACTTTAAAACAAAACATCTAGTGGACATACCTTGGCATTCATCACAGATCCCAGGTGCGGTAATACATGTGGAGTGGAAATTGCAACCACAGTCAACATCACATTCGACACCACTCAGAACGAGTGTGGCTGGATCTGATGTCCATCCAAGAGCACACTCGCACTCAAAACGTGGGCTGCCACTACACTGACCCTCACGACACTCATTGTAGCAGCTGTGGGCACACAATAATAATACTTGTTTATTTTATGAAGAGATTCCCCCCATTGAGATGAATGAGAAGGGGCCTCGTGTTCACTTAATATTTTTTTACTATATTAACTGTCCTGCACATGCTTTGCACGTTACTTACGTCTGATTGCAATGCAATGTACCGTCTCCTGTAAACCCTCTTTCACAGTGGCACTCATATGATGTTGGGGTGTTAATGCAGGTAGCAAAGGGGTGGCAGTTATGTAGACCCAGTCTGCATTCTTCTACATCAGGGCAGGTGGGGTAGGACCAGATGGCATCCTGATCTTCATCTTCCAGGTGTTCAAGGTCAATATCCATTTCCAAAGGTCGAGGAGGAGCTGATGTTTGGGGCTCAGGGCTATAAGGTTTTTAATAATAAATGATAATATAAAAATTAAATTAAGATTATAATATTTCAATTATTATTAAAGCTTAATATTTTAATAAAGTCTTACTTTGCAGCCCGAGCTTCAGCCACAGCAACACTGCAATTATACACTGAAGGGTCATCCATTCCAGCCCAATCTCCTCTCAGACATCTGACAAAACATTTGAAATGGAAATCACTGTGTGTAGTGTAGATGGATATTGTGTTGTATAGTCAAATGCTATGCACAGCTGCTTGACAAATTTCCAAAACTTACTTTCCAATAGTAGGATTATTGTAATCCCCACACCAGCCGCATTGGAAAGTCCGCAAACAGTCTGTGCAGGTGCTCAGAGCTGAACACTGCTTACACTGGGGAACTGAATGAACACTGATCAAAAAAGACAAAAGAATAATAAATATGAATGCGGTTACAGTAAATGTAGTATTTTATCCCTTAGTTTAACCTTCTTGGCTACGTGTCAATTCAGACTATTAATAAAATCGTTTGGGAGAGCATAATTATAAAGACAAACACTAATAAGAAAAAAATATATATTCTAAATTATCTTGATTAAATATGAGTTAGGGAACATGCCCCTGACCATATTTACCTGTCATACCAGTCCCTGCATTCTCCATAGGGGTATTTTGTGAGATACGCTGCAAAGTAGAAGCAGGCCTGGGCAGACTCGCACCATGCACACTGGCTGGAATTAGACAAGCACTCTCCACATGTTTTTCTCCTTTGGAAAAAGGTAAATAAAGCAGGGGTTAGAGAGTTCTATGAGTCCTAAAGCATCTAATTTTGTCTCACTCACTGGTTGCAGACTTTTGGGCATCCCTTTGGATCACGTATGGAGCCATCTAACCTTCCACGACGGCTGCACTGATAGTCACCCTTTTTGCTGGAGTTTATTTGCCACTCACAAAAAGGATCCTGTAAGTCACATTTTATCCTTATTATAAACCTTAAGATTTACATAAAATCTATGAGTTTGTTTTCATATTGTTCAGGTTTATACCTGAGTACAAGCTGAGCAGTCTCTGTACTCTTCACACAGTGTGCAGTGTTGTGGAGCCAACAGCAGATGGCGCTGACCAACTCTGCCATCCGCTTCGGGACATGGGTCTAAATCTGGACTGTCACGGAGCAAACAGCGAGACAAGGAGGGGCACCAGCCACAAGACTGATCAGACAGACAGGCCAGGCAGGACATGTAGCCAGAGCAGGATCCAGAGCGATAAGGCTCTAGGAAAAGGAAGGAAATCTCCTACACATGAAACAGATGTAAAATATTAAGTATAGTGATGAGAAGCAATGAGGCATGAGAAACAATAAGACACAAGAAGCAGATTTAACTGGTCTAGTACTCACACTTCCACCGGGCAATGTTCTGTTCCAGATTAAAGCCATCTCACTCGTTTGTCCAGAGCCAGAGTTATTAAGATACCCTTCAGCTTGAACAAGGTAATGGTTTCCTCTGGTTAGATTGGAAAACAGTCTGCTTCCATCTGACCGTGCCAGAAGCTTTGACTCTCTTTCCTGCTGGGCTGCCCAACGACCCACCACCTCCTGTTCAATCAACCAGTCAAAATATACATAATTAGATAAATGTAAAACATAATTGCATAAAAAGAAACAAAAAATATATACCAGCTGGCTCGAATTTGGTCCTGACGCCACTCTAGCCTCAAAATGTAATCTCTGTATGCGAGCCCACATTGAAACAGTCTCTGTTGGAGGAGGAGCAGGTGGAGGTGCCCCCCAGAGAGGGTGGATAAAGCCCCTGAACTGTAGCGCTACGTCCATTTCAGTGGTAGGGCTTAAGATGATGTTGGTACTGCGGAGAATAGTCACCTAACGGGAGGGGTATGGTTGAAGGATAGCAGAAGGTATATAGAAACACATCAACAAAAGCACTACTCTCTACAAACAGCTCACGTAACAATACAAGACTATTAAAGGAAGTATAGCATATGAATAGGAAAACAGAAAAAAGAGGCACAGTGTGAGTCAAAATATTTATAAAACTCTTAGGATGAAGAGAGGTGTAAGTTTGAGAGTACAGTAGGAGGAAGGAAGGAGGGACAAGTTTACGTGGAAAGAAATATATTTATGACCACAACTCCGTACCTTGTCAGGCTGGGAGTCGTTGCGAGGGTGCTGGAAGGTGAGCAGGTGCAGTCCCGGGACATAGTTCTCGGTGCGACAGGAGTGGAGGGAGGTTAAGAAAAGGGTACGCTCCCCCCACCAGCCGTACGCCCCTGAGATCTGGTCCACGCGGCACGCACTTCGCTCTGTGAGACCAAGAGGGAGAGGTCAGCACACATATAGATACATCTGACCCCGATACAAACAATCTTGTCTTTTTCAATACTTTTCTTCAACAGACTATGGACTTGTACTCTTACTTCACATGTGCACAATACAAGAGGTGAGACAACATGACTTAACTGTACCATTGCCCAAAAGTGGAACAGTGCAACAGTGAGCAAGTTACCACTGCCATTTCAGGTTGGTTAGGATAAGTCACTATGTTTCACTTAAAGCACATGCAAGAAGAGTGTGGTCCCCCAACTCCCAGTCTCTATACTAAAACTACAACTATATTACATCATGTATTTGGGCTGAACTATTCAGGCAGCTCTCCTTCCTCCCTTCCTTGGTCTTACCTGACACAGGTAAGCAGGACTCATTCTGAACACACCAGCCAAATTCACCAGGGGCACGGGCCAAGGAGGCTGGTGTGCCACTGAACACCACACAAGATTGGCAGTCAGACAGGAAACGTGCCAATCCCAGGCAACCAGTGCTTCCGCACTATGGAAGAAAAACAACATCATTAGGTATGAAATGTAAATATTTTACAATGCAGGATTACTAAACAGATTTTTTTCCTCTAATCATTTACCGGATTTGTAGGCTGGTACTCTCGACAACGACCTTCACACCAGCTGCATTCTGGGTTTTTAAGGCACATACTTTCATCCAGAGCCTCAGCACAGACAGCATCCTTTAAATAAATAATTAACATTTGCATCAAATTGGAACCTTTACAAATTCAAGATCAAGATCAAGATAAACTTTACTAAATTAGTGATTTTTAAATGCCTTTTAGAAGATACAGGTAGATGACACATCTATGATGCAAGATGTTAAGAATGACTTAAAAGTATCTGCTGTATGTATTTTGCCTTTTAACAATTCATTATTTAAAAACAATAAAATGCTGTCCTCACCCTGTCACCTTGATCACTAGTGACAAACAATGGTACTTTGTATGCCACCAGGTCTCCACGGGCAACGCCACTGTAACCGCCAGCAACAAGCAACACTCGTCCATCTATTACAGCAGCAACATGTGAGTAACGACCTCTCACTGTTTCGCCACCTTAAACATAAAGCAAATTGTGAGCTTTGGGATAGTCATTCCCTTTATGGTATTTTTATTCAATTGATTAATTTGTATTTCTCAAGATAACAATGATATATCATATCCAGTTATACCACTTATATCAAATATATTGGCTATTACTAATGTGTATTAGCATACCATGCAATGAGCTCTCCCCTGCAGAGACCCACTGGTGACAGCCAAGATGATAAAAGAAGATCTCCTCATCATAACACTTTTCTTCTTGGTAGTGAATATGCACATTTCCTCCTGGAAAAAAAAACAAAAAAAACATTTATCATTACACAAGCCCAGACCAGCTCACTCGCTGTATTTATTTTCCCGTGCTCCTCTGCTCACCATAGACGACCATGTAGTTTCCAATGACTGTCGCTGAGTGGAAGGCTCTTTCTCTGGGACCTGTGGTTGGAAAGCGGGAACGCAAGGAAGTCCAAAAGCGTCTGTCTACATGAAATATATCAGTGTTGTTCACCCTCACACTGAACCTAAACAAAATAAAGATGATTAGTTTAAAATGTTAGTTTGGGTTAAAACCACACACTTACGAATATTCAGTAGATTTATACCTGGCAGTGGTGGGTCTGTGCCCACCATATACCAGCAGTGTTCTTGATGGGCTGTGAAACACCATTGAGTGACCAGCAGTTGCAGGAGGTTTCCCACCTGTCGGTTCAACAGTCTCCCATCTGCCCGAACCATGTAGGCCAAAACGATACAAAGAGGAAGAAAACATATCCTCTTCAGTGCGACCTGCACATGAGCAGTAAACATAAATCAAACTGTTAAAAAATATAATAATGCAAGTACAATGTCTGCCAGACAAAAAAAGCCCACCTCCAAAAACATAGAGATAGCTGTCTACTACAGCTGCAGCGTGATTGGCCAGTTTAGGAGCACCTTGTGAAAAGGAAAATCCAAGCTGCTGCCAATCATCTTGAAGTGGACGGTACATCCAGACATCACTGGCCAAGGAGCCATTAGCCAATTCGCCCCCAAAGATAACCATATTACCAAACCATTCTACAGCTGTATGGGAGTGCCGAGCCACCTAAAAATAATGTGAGAAACAAGCAATTCACATTAATAAGGCCTTTCCCATGAAAATGTATTTCAGGTTTATATTCACTGCCTATTAACTTATGTTATATACTTATTACTATGTTATATACTATGTTATATAACTTATGCTATATACAACTAGTAATGAAGGATCAGAATACTTTACTGCACATATTTATATCGTTACACTTACAGGGGAGTGACCATAAGATCTGCTGTCCCATTGGTTAGACGTGATGTTGTATTTGATTAAGTCACCGAGAGCCCTGTTAAGGTCAAAGCCTGGCAAAAGAAAAAAACAGATAAACAGTATTGCTAAATTTAGACACAAACTGTTTTCCATATCAATACCCCTTACCACCAAACAAGTATATGGATCCAGTTGAGGACAGGTAGACCCCAGCAGAACCAGTTCTAGGAGGGGTGTAAGGGTTGCCCTCACTCACACGCCACCACTGCCCTACACCATAATCATCTCGGAGACCAAGTTGGCAGCTGTGGCCAATAAAGCCTGGCTCACACAGACACCGCTCCCCTTTCTGAAAGACAGCAGTATTAAGTTAATGAATAATACACTACATTGTGAAATTTTGAGCACCTGAAAAAGCGCTATATCAGATTAATAATTATCATTATTATTAATATATGAATTTATATTTAAAATGTATATTTATTCAAGCTAAAGAAAGCACTGATCACTTCTAACCTTGTCACATTGACCATGAATGGAGCAGGCCGCAGAGCATAGGGGTGTTGTACAAGATGCTCCACCCCAGCCCTGTTGACACTGGCATTTTGATGTTGAACTTTCACAGCGGCCATGACCACCACAAGCTCCAGGGCACTGGGAAAAAGTGTAAGTGGCATTGAAGCCTAATAGATTGTAGTTGGCGTCACTAAAAAGATGAAGCAGCATCTGAAACAAGATCAGAAACATTAAGAATAAAACAATAACATGCACTTTTAGGAATAAATGTATAGTCAAAATACCTTGCCAGATTTTGCTTCAATAGGTTGTGGCAGAGTGTTGCCGCTGAGACTAGCAAGAAGCGGGCTTTGGTAAGAATCTCCATCATAAACAAACAGATAGTCATAGGTACATTCTGTGTCCATAAATGTGAAATTTAGGACAATCCTGTGACTGTTACTAGGAGCTAGGGTAAAAAGGTACATGTTAACATCATCACACTGATTTCAATATAATAAATGAAACTTATCATACCTCTAATGAGCCATTCGCAATTCCCATTGACAGAGTAGTTTCCTGGTCCATCTGTGACATATCCAGGTGGACCCCTAAGTACTTGTCTGTGGCCCTTACAGTCACCTGCATGACACACCAGTGGCTCAAGCAACAGCAAAACCAGGAGGACAGAAGCCGGGAGGGGTAATGCCATTGCTGGCACAGCCTGCAAACCAAAAGAGGACAGAACAAACAGATATAATATAATGTAATCTAGTTTGGGGTCGTTAGATATCTCTATAAATTAATCTCTTTAAATGTATGTACTCGTCTCATCCCATTGATAATATTGTCATGTTGGATACTAACACTGACAGGAATGTCAAGATTGCAAATAATGTGCATTCCCTGCATTGTCCCCCTCTCCAACAAACCCTTTTAATAAAAATTGCCAAATTAAATTTGAGACTCACCAGTAGTGGTGAAAGGTCATTAGTCAAGCAGTTACTGACATAACGTTAAAATGTTGACTAATTGAAACATAGGGGCAAAGCGAAAATCTAAAGTCAAATTACTGCACATTACATTCCGTTTATGAACGTTTTAATGGAGCACAACTTGTTATTACAGTGTACAACATTCATACAACATCTGGTTGACAATCGCGTGTCCTTTAAACCTGGTCTCCCTGCAGGCTATCATAACAGTGCTAATGCAACGGCTGCTAAGCGTGCTAGCCAACATTATACCGTTATCATTATGGGGGGCTGTGAAAACTCGTTTTTAGCGTCTGATCACACTCACCAGTTCCCGTCTCTTCGAGGCCATGTTAGGTTTACATTTTCGAGTGGGATGGCTCGGTTCACTTCTGGTCCCAGTCAACTGTAATGGCTAAAAATCTCAAGCTAGCAGCAGCTCCGTTGCCTGGAGCTAACGCAGCTCAGCCAGATACGAGATACGAGCTAATGCTAGTTGCATCGGCCAAATCCAGATGCGCAATCTCCAGTGATTGCAAAATCACTACGTCAAATCCATCGTAACACGTTTCTGTTTGTCGTTTTAAATTTCTGTAATCGTGCAGGAAGTAAGCTATGAAAATCAGAAGGTCGATATCTTAAGAAAAGGCAAAGTGCATGGGTTGATGAAAAGATGCTCGTTGTTTACGCCGGGGCTACCAGTGGCCGGCTGTTAACACAAAAGACAGCGGAGAATATTATCTAAATACTGCCATCCAGTGGCTTGAAACATTCCTTCTCTGAGGGCAACCAATGTAATAACACCATAACAAGTGCTCAACAGGTAATCATTTTCCTTTCATATATTTATTTATCAGGACAGTTTACAATTAGTCTGGTCTTATAGGTAATACATTCAACAAACAAAATAATGAAGGCACTAGAAATGTTTTCAACACCCTATGCTTATTGTAAAAAGAAAAAGAAGAGAAGAAAAACGAACTAAAACTAAAATTAACAATACACGAGTAATGTTATAGTGATGTTTAATTAGTGCTAATGCAGTGTCCTTGTTAATTTCACTTTCTGCGTTGGGGTTTTTAGACAGGTCTATTTTTTCCATTGTATGATTTTTAAATGACCACTTCTGTCAGGATGTATATACAGCAATTTTACCTGGAGCTAGAATCATAGGTGTACTGTGAAGTCCTGGACCAAAAATTGGATACACTTTTTCATTCTCTTCCAAATCAAAACTAAAAGAGATCAAGAATTTAGCTGTCATTGCATCCCAAAAAGACACTTCACGGTTGTCCATGTTTAACTTAATCCGGATTTTCTCTGGACGTGGATTTACAGGGAGCTCTGGGCGTTCAGGTGTTAATGCAGTGTATACCCCTTTGCTGAGCCCTATGGCCCACACACCCCTATTGGTCGAAACTGTAAACTTTCTTTTACGCACTACTGACTCTTTGCACACTCCCACAATCCACTTGGGGTTATCTCCAACGGAGACCTCCCACTTGTGTTTCCCAGAGGTGTATCCTTCAGCCCCCAGGACAAAGACACACGGGTCAAAGCGATCGGGGTTGTCAGGGACACTGAGTCGCTCTGGGTTTTCTTTCACGCTGGTCAGGTCTGGACTCAGGGCCAACCAAGGGGAAGCAGTGTTAGGATCTAAAACCACTGGGTCTGCACATAAGTATAAAAACAAGTTACTTATTAGGCATGGTACAATACTGAAATTTGCTGTCACAATTATCATGGTTAAAATAATTGCAATTAACAATTATATCGCAATAATAATTTAAGTTGCTGACAGTTTGAAAATGTTATGCATATGATTAATTATACTTGATATTATGAATAAGATCCATATTTAAACACTGGTTATAGAATTACACTTTGTTATTAGTGAAAACAATGATCTAGAAGAAAACATCAAGGATAAGTAGTTTTTTTCTGCACATTCTCATGATAAAATGGCGATTATGTATGTGCGATTATCACGTTTATATAAAATGTCCCAGAAACGATTACTGTCTCGTCTTTTTATTACGATAAACAATACTATTGTTTATTGTCCCATCCCTATAACACATTCACTGTTCAGAGACATGATGATTGTTTAAAAGGATACTTACTATATTTAACACAATCTTTCATCATCTGCCAGACAGTGAAGCTTAAAGCACCAACATGTTTACTCATATTCAGAAGATCATGATGAGAAATCTTGGGGTCACCTTTTTTCCATTCAGCTCTGACAAAATGGAAAACATAATGAAAGACAATTATTTAAGACTTTATTCAATATCACAGTGGAAGGCATTTTATTAGTACTTACTCTCTTTTTACTTTCTGGAAATTCTGCAATGTTGTAACAGACAGAGAATTGTAAATGAATATGACCTACTGGATGTACTAGCTTTCTCTGTATTTATTTTGCCTTACCATCAGAAGGGGCAGGTCTTCCTTTCCTAGCTCTTTATTCAGAATGTCCACATGTTCTTTAAGACTTTTTAAATTATCTTCTGTTTTAGATATCTTTTCTTGTAAAGTTGTTATCTTTTGCTTTTCTTCACTGGCCAGGACTTCAAGTCGCTTATTTTCTTCAGCATAAAGAAATTTGTGGAGCCTTTCAAATTCTTCTTTAATCTGTTTCTCTGCTTCTCCTGCTTGTTGCTGCAATATACAAATGTAAATAAACAACAATAAAGATAATTGGTAATATAGGTAATATGTAATATTGGGAATACCTTTACATAATCCACTGCTTTGGTAAATCTATGCTTCATTTTTCTGTGCAAATCTACCTTCTTTTCAAATATGTCGAGTTTATCAAACAGCTCTTTCTAAAAAACAAATATGGTATTAATATGTTGTTTTCAAGAAACAGATACACCCAATACAGAATTCCTCGATGTATGAGTGTTCATTCTTATACCTTACAACGCGGGACCCCATCCTTGATGCTGAACAGGCGGTGCGTACTGTGAAGAATGGCACAGTCCACACACACGGGCTCTTCGTCCTTCTCGCAGTAAAGCTCTAAAGGCCTGTAGTGCAGGTTACAGACAAACTCACTCGGTTGTGGGGGATTTGTCAGGTTGATCTGCCTTACTAAAGTCTCACAGGCATTTTTCAGAGCACGATTTGCAATAGCTTGGTCCTCGGTAAAAGGTTGTCTACAGGCCGGACACTTTTTATTGAACTTCCAGCTTCTCTGTGCACATTCCCGACAGAAGGAGTGTGAGCACGGCAGGAGCACAGGGTCATTGAAGATGTTCTTACACACGGAACAGGTCAGGTCCGGTCGCAGGGCCTCCGAACCCTCGTCTGTCATGTCCTCATCCATGCTGTCTTAAGATAATGGAGATTTACACTTACTTTCGTTTTCAGTCCAAATCAGAAGAACAACATTAACCTACGAATAGCCAATGTCAGACATACGAAACCACATTAAAGCATCGAATTAAACATATTAAAAAGTAACTTACAGTTTATCGTACAAAGTCACAATACAGGACAGGCTGGTCCTTGCTGATATTTCCGTGTTTTGACAGCGCGCAAGTAAATATCTACACTGCCCCCTAGCGAGCACAGCATTTCACTACACGAACTTGTTTAAAGGTCCTATATTATGCAAATATGACTCTCGTGAGTTTCCTACAATTCCTGCATATTTAGGCTGTGTTCTTCTCAAATGGAAAACATTCTGTTCCACCTTGTCGTGACATGTGGTGATGCAGGAAGTGCTCCACTGTGTTTTAAAACTCCATACACCTTCACCAGAATCATTTGGATCATTTCATCATTTAAAAAGGTAAAGATAGCTGTTAACTTGAAAACTACTGCTTCATGACATCACAGGGTGGAACAGAGCATTTTGAGTTTTGGAGATGTAGACAGATTAAACTAGGATTACTCAATCTCGTATGAATGAAACAAAACATAAATCCAGGAATGTTTTTGATGAGACAACATCATAACATGGCTTAAACTTGTGTATTAAACAAAACACAACTTCGGGTATGTTTTTGAAGAGGAAACAACATGATATCAGAAACTGATATGGGCCCTGTAAATGTGACTGCTACCTATTTTATTTTATTTATTTTTATTTTTTGTAAAAACACTGGAAACTGATAGTGGATGAACTTTATTACACACTTTATGACACAAAATTGAAAATAACAACACATTTATAACTTAATTTAGTTTAGTTTGTTAGTTTACTTATTTAGTGTCATGCACCATTTGGAAAGTGCTGATTTGTCTTTTATATATGCCTCTAGGTTATGCATTAGGATATTATGGTTACTTAACTTATCAATTAAGTTTCTAACAATAAACTATGTATGCGCAACACACCCCACAACATGACATCCAGACTAAAAGCTTAACACAAAGGACATCTAATTCAAAACCATATTTTTTCAACAACTATTATTAATGTTAGGAGGTCTGTATTGTAACTTTTCCAGGAAAAATAAACATGGGTGTATTTTGGAGGCCTGGACCAAAAATTGGATACATCTTTTCGCCATTTTCCAATTTAAATGTAAAAGAGACTAGGTGTTTCTCTGCTAATCCATCATAAAAAGACACCTCTCTTTTGTCCATATTTAGCCTGACACGGATCTTCTCTGGACATGAATTGACAGACAGCTGTGTAGGTTCTGGTGTTAGAGCAGTGTACTTCTCTTTGCTGAGCCTGATAGCCCATACTCCATATGTGGTTGACACTGTAAACATCTTTTTCCTAACCACTGACTCTTTGCACACTCCCACAATCCATTTGGGGCTATCTCCAACAGAGACCTCCCACTTGTGTTTCCCAGAGGTATACCCTTCAGCCCCCAGGACAAAGACACATGGGTCAAAGCGATCTGGGTTGTTTGGGACAGGCAGTGGCTCAGGGCTTTCCTTCACACTGGTCAGGTCTGGACTCAAGGCCAACCAAGGAGAAGCACTGTTGGGATCGAGAACTACCGGATCTATAAAAGAAAGAAAGAAGCTTTATGAAATAAATGCTGTATAGTAGTACGGATGAAGTATATCTGCAGTAGGGATGGACCGATACCAATACAGGTATCCAATATCACCGCCAATACTGAAAAATTAGCTGAATAGAGTATCAGCTGCATGATATCGGGTAAGCCTTTAATGGGATGTAATAAGAGGCTGATGAATGTGAACTTTTATTCATTCAAAGCTGTTTTGTGGCTACATGAAGGATACATAACAGTTGTATAACACAATTGGACCTCTTCTGTAATAAGGTAACTGTGTTTTAAGGAAATAAGTGCCATTTTCAGTCCCTACACTGGTATCAGTTCATAACGGGTAACGAAAGATACTTAAAGACAAAGTATCTGTATCGGAACTGAAAAAGCTGGCATCCCTAATTAGCAGTGTTGGGAAGTAACTGAATACATGTACCGAGAACAGATATTCTGATACTTATGAGTAATTGTATTCTAGTACAGTTAAAGTATTACAGTGTATTTACTTTGGTGATATTCAGAATACTACAGAAGGCTTTTCTAAAATTAAATGAATACATGGCAGCACTTGATCACACAATTTAAGCTTCAAACTGCACAGAATTATTGAGAAAAATATAAAACACTGCTCTTATGGTGCATGCAAGTGTGACTTTTCCTTCCCTGGTCAGCGATAGATAAATGCATAACAAACAGTGCCAACAAATATAAAGCTGTTTTTAATTCTATGTTGCATCTTTTCTCTATCATTTACATGCAACTTGATGTAAAAGTATTTAAAGTATTCAGGATACAGCAGTCTGAGAGGAACATGTATCAGAATATGTTACAAAATATATTTTAATGCAGGTATTCTGTATTAGGATGGGCGGTAAGAAGTTTCAAAACTGGTTGACTGGCAAAAATATGTTGTGATGTGTAATATAATAAGTAATAATTTTTTGCCAGACAAATGTACTTACAATACTGGACACAGTCTTTCATGCTCTTCCAGATGTTGAAGCCTAAGGAGCCAACATGCTTACTCATGGTCAGGAGGCAATCCTGTTCAATCTTTGGGACACGCTGTGACCAATATGTTCTATGAAACACAGTGATTAAAAAATAAATAAATAAAAACTAAGAGCAACCAATGATGGTGTGTTTTAGAATGACTTACTGTATTTTAGTTTTCTGAAAATTCTGCAAAAACAACAAACAAACCTTTGGTGAATTTATAACATCTAAATAAACACAGACGTAATATTTAACTTCTATTAGATGCAATTGTTATTTCTTATTGTGGTTGTTTCTATTAATTATTCTTGTCTTACCATCAGAAATGGAAGGTCCTCATTGTCCAGCTCCTTTTTTAGAGTATCCAGGTGCTCTTTAAGACTTTTTAGATGCTCCTCTGTTGTAGATATTTTTTCCTGTACAACTGACATCTTTACTTCCATTTCAGTGGCCAGGGTTTGGAGTCGTATGTTTTCTTGAGCATGAAGAAAGTTGTGGAGCCTCTCAAATTCTTCCTTTATCTGATTTTCTGCATCCCCTGCTTGTTTCTGCATTGAACAGAAATGTTGATAATATTGAGAAAAAGTAATAAATATGCACAAAATTGCACAAAGTTTAGTTATGGTATAAGACTTACTTGAATACATTCAACTGTTTTGAAAAGTGTCTGTCTCATTCTTCCATACAAATCAATCTTCTTTTCAAAGTATTCAACTTTGTCATTCAACTCACTCTGCAAAATAAAGCATGCATCATTTGTTTGTTTTTATAATTAATCTCATGTATAGTACTGCAAATACCATACTGTGTTGTTGTTACCCTATTTTGATCAATAAAATATGCAGGCCTATTCACTGTGTAAAAGTTTTGTTTCCAGTGTAAAGTTAAGTTGTTGGGGGGGGGGGGGGGGGGGGGGGATGCTAACTGTAGGCACTACTCTGTCAGACTTTAATCTGAGCATTATTTTAATAGTCTGACCATGAGAGTTGATTTAACTAGAGCTACAACAAGATGATTTGTGTTGTTTAAAAAGTTCTCTCAAACATACAGTACTTAAGAAGACTATGAACACTCATATTGATCATCACAGGCTCCTAAAAATGTGTTGTTTAAATTTGTATTTTTCTTGAGTTGTCATACAATCTGATAACTGATAATATTGCAGCACCCCCGGCGTGATGTCACTGCAAAGTTTCAATAGTTACATGTGACTTTCTTAAGACCCCAGATCATAATAGTATGGTTCGGGGGACCAGTGTGACGTGAATACCTTACAAAGCGGGACTCCATCCTTGATGCTAAGTAGCCGGTGAGCGCTGTGAGAAGTGGCGCAGTCCACGCACACTAGCCTCTCATCTAACTCACAGTACAGCTCCAGAGGCTTGAGATGGAGGGTGCAACAGAATTCACTGGGTTTGGGAGGGCTTTTCCAGTTGGTCTGCTTCACAAATGTCTCACATGCGTTTTTCAGATCACGGTTTACAATAGTTTGGTCTTCTGTACAAGGTTCTCTACAGAATGGGCACGTTTGGCTGACTTGCAGGCTCCTTTGTAGACATTCTCGACAGAAAGAGTGTGTGCACGGGAGGAGCACGGGGTCACTGAAGATGCTCTGACACACGGCACAGGTCAGGTCCTGTCGTAGGGCCTCTGAAGTGTCGTTTTGCATGTCCACGTCCATACTGTTAGGAACAGCGTAGAAGTAACAGCTTTACTTAGGCTATCTTTTCGTTTTCAGCACAAGACAAACTGATTAAAAACACAGCCAATACAGACATACCACGTAACTTCAATATGTTGGTGACACAAATACAGCCCGAAAATAAGGACTGAAATAGAGGTCAAAAATAGTAAAACACAAAACTCGTAATTCTACTTTCGTTTTTAAGTCGAGGTCTATTTCCGCGTATGATTAGGCAGAAAAAATATAACACTGCCATCTAGCGACAATTTCAGGAGACGGTGTCTTTTTCTGATTTACAGCTTAAAAATAATAATACAAATAAAATCAATCTTAATAATAATAATAATGATAATAATAATGATAATAATGACAATAATGACAATAATAATAATGACAATAATAATAATAATAATAATAATAATAATAATAATAATAATAATAATAATAATAAGTATAGGTATAAGTATAATAATAATAAGTATAATTAATTATAACAATTAATTGCTAACTGCTGTATAGTAGACCTACTGAAAATGAAAACACATCCATTGTATTTATACTTGCTTTTTTAATGGCATGTTATAGTTAGCATGAAAATGAGGAAGGAGACACTCAAAAAGGCACTTGAAACCATTAAGGCAGGTGTTCACTCTGTCTATCAGATAAGCACCTACCCATGTATGCCTAAATATAGTTTAAACATATCTCAGCAACTCATGCCTAAATATACCCTAAACACATCTTAGTAACTCACTACATAAATGCATCATTATAACATTTAATATTAAGGATTTTTTAATGGTCAGATACTTGCATATTTGCAATGACTGTAAATACACCACTGGTAAAGATCAGGGGTGTGAATAACAGGAACTGTACTCTAAGTTGGTGCAGGTGTAACCTTTGCATGTTAGCAGGTTTTGAAAAAAAAAAAAAGGTGTGAAATAGATTCTGAAAACAGGGGAAGTGTAAGTAAACAGTGATTTTAGCAGAGAACTTTGCCCCCTTATGTAAAGAATGTAAAACAAGAGCTCACTCAGTACAGTGTAATTTGATGTCTCCATATTAGTCCTAAGGGGAGAAAACTGAAGGCATGTAACTGTCATAAAATGAAAATGTTTTATTGTGTATTTTAAAACTTTTAATATCACAGATTTTGGAGTGGCTGTGGTTACATGCACACTCAAAATCTGATTATTATCACATTTTGGGCATGATTATTATCTTTTTATTTACTTGCATAAGATTTAGCTGTTTATGTTATGCAATGTTTACACTCCAGAACTCAGATTTTGGTGTGCATGTGACCATAGCCACTGAAGTAAAGCAGTCTTAACAGATCTGACAGTTTTAAAATAATTTATACTCAAATGTAATATTCATATAAAGAAGATGTGATAATTTGGTTTATTGTTTTCCTATGTGTTAGTATGTTAAAACCTAACAAACACGTAAAAAGGGAAATCTGAAAAAAATGAGTGAAACACCCCCTCCCACCCTCTCAACGCTTCCAGAGTCTAGTGTTAGTCTTGTAATGTGCCTCTCATACTCTTTGTGAAGCTCATCAGTGACGGATCTGTAACTGAATAATGTCTTCGGATTGGTATGTTAGCCATATGTTATAGTAGATATTTAATAGCATGCTTTGATAAGTTTTCATTTGCATTATTATTACATTGCCTGTTGGTGTTTAAACACAACATTAAAATTGTGTCTCATAATGAGAGGATCTTGAGTATCCATTTTGTTGAGTGAGATTAAGTGTCAGATGTGACCACATGTAGACTGTGATGTGGTATTATTATACCATCATCTCTGCCACACTTTAAGTACTTTAAGTTTACAAGTTATGCATAATCCTAGTATGCTTGCTTCCTCTTGCACATTTCAATTCTGCTTGCTAGGTGACATTCAAATGTCCATATTCTACAGAGGAACATGAAAATTTGATCTGCCATTCTAGTCTGCATTTGCAGTCTTATTGTCATAGTAACCATATTAATTATGAAACAATGAAACAATTTAAGAGAGACATATTGTTATGTTCATTCAAAATATAAAGTACAGTTGTTCTTTCTTTTCAACCTGAACATCATTAAATTTTTTGTAAGTAAAAATGTCTATACATATTCTAATGGCTTGATCATATTTTCCTTTTTTCTTCATTATGATAATATGAAGGGACAGCACCATAAATGCAGATGGATATGGATTTGATGATTGGGATGAATTATTTAAGAACTACACAGGGGGAAATGAAGAAGATTACAGCACATCTGGAAATGTGGACTTGTGTGATCTTGGGGACCGCATGCGCTTCAAGGCCAGGTTCATCCCGGTGATGTACTCCCTGGTGTTTGTGGTGGGACTCCTGGGGAATGGGGCTCTGCTGGCAGTTCTGTTCCGCAGCAGAAGAGGCTGGAGTGTGACGGACACCTTCATCCTGCACCTGTGTGTGGCAGATGTGCTGTTGCTCCTCACCTTGCCTCTGTGGGCCTCTGAGGCTGTGAGTGGCTGGACCTTTGGGACTTCCCTGTGCAAGGTCACAGGGGCTATGTTCACGGTAAGATTAGGTTAGTTTATTTGCCATTTGTACTTAAAAAACACATGGGGAAAACATGCACCTAAAGCTCAAAGTAAAACCCTGAGACATTAAAAACAACCACATGAACAAACAACAAATGTGACAACATATTGACACTATGAAATAAACAAGCTACAAAGATTAAGTAGCCAAAATGTGATGGTGTTATCAAAGTTAAAAGGGCGCTGTTCAAGTTTATAACAGCTTGTGGAAAGAAGCTGATAGCATGGTATGACTGACAGCCTACACTTGCAAGTCATCATCATCATCACTGCATATGCAAACAAGGTACTATTTGAGCTTCATTTCATTCACTTCTGAGTCATATACACCTTTTGTCCTTCTATCAGATCAATTTGTACTGTGGGATCTTTCTGCTGGCCTGCATCAGCTTGGACCGGTACTTGTCCATTGTCCATGCCACGCAGATGTACTCCCGGAGGAACCCCTGCATGGTCCAAGGGAGCTGTCTGTTTGTCTGGTTGTTCTCCATGGTCCTCTCTATCCCAGACTGGTTATTCTTCAAAGCCCAGAAAGATGTCAGACGCAACATAACTGAATGCATTCACAGTTACTTCATGTATGGCACCGAGGCACTCAAAGTGGGACAAATGGTGACCAGTCTGATCTCTCATGTGGTGGGTTTCCTGTTGCCTTCTGCTGTTCTCATCTTCTGCTACACCTGCATCCTCCACCAGCTCCGCTGTGGCACCCATAGCCTTCAAAAGCAACGCGCGTCTAGAGTCATTGTGGTTGTAGTGGCTGTGTTCTTTCTCTGCTGGAGTCCTTACAACATCACTCTTATGGTGTACATGTTCAGCTCTGCTAACAGTACCAACCAGACTTGCAATGAGGGGAGTAGGATGGAGAGAGCCAAAATCATCACGTCTTCACTGGGGTACCTCCACTGCAGCCTCAATCCAATCCTGTACGCCTTTGTGGGGGTCAAGTTCCGTCGGCAGCTCCTGGGTCTCCTCAGCTCCCTGGGCTGCGACTTCAAGACCAGAGCACGCTTCCCGTCTATGGCTAGTAGTCGCAAAAGCTCCATGTGGTCTGAGTCCGGAGACACGAGCAATTCTGTTGCAGTCTGAGGGATCACATGAACATTACACAAAAATACAATAATACAGGGTACATTCATATTCTTATTTTTGTATCTTATGTAATACCTCTTATACCTTTTGGCTTGTTCTTCACATCATCATCACTGAAAGTGATGTATATATTGATTAAGGTTTTGCTGTCCTTCCCAACAGTATCTCTTCAAAAGATTAAAAAAAACAAAAACAAAAAACATACTGTTTTCTTGTGTATAGATGTGAATTTTGTGAAGACCATAAAAATGTGTATTTTTGATTAAATGTTTATATTTCCACCTTGGTGCTTTTTTGTTCTTGTCTGCAGAACACAATGCACTGGAAAGTATTTTGCTAAGAAAGAACATTTGTGTGTGGTTTGAATAGCTCAGTCTTTACAGTTTTTTTTTTCCTTACAGGAAATAGAAACTATAAAATCTCCCATAAAGCTACAGAGTGGTTAAAGCCCAACACCTTTGAAAGGTTAAAAGCCGCACACTAATACTCATGTCACACAAGACATTCTCTACAGGTACACAGTGGCGGAAACAACCAGAATAACTTGTGAAATGATACACATACGAAACTGTGCACACTAAAATAAAGTTTCTATGGAAAGCCTGCAAAAAAAACACACAAAAGTTAAAACTCCAAAATTTGAGAATTATTCCAAAGTAACAGAAACTAAATGTTAAATAATCACAGTAATTAAAAAAAAATTTGAATTGTGTTCCTCTTAATGGTAATAGCAATGTTACTATAGTTACTGTTGTTACTAAAGTGTCAAAACAGGATGTGAACCTTTGTGTATATATTAATCTAGGTGTGATAAATAACTCTTTCTGCTGTTAGCTGTCACAGACTTAATCACTTCAACTTATACACTATTAACAATTAAAATAATACATTCCTGTACAATATTGAACTTTTTTTATATAACTGTAAAATAAATAGGTAAAATAGTCCTCTACAATTTTCAAGTTTATTTAAAAGAAAATAAACATGTACATAAATAATACACATAATCACTTGTAGCATCCCCCAGAGACTACAATACAAAATGGTAGCAGTTAGCCTATTAATTGTGTTTTTACCACTGTTTTCTCACTCCAGGCTGCTTTTTCAATATGAATGCATAGCAAACACAGTGCATTTATTACTAAGGGAATGCAGCTGAAAGAATATGCTATTTACCATAATTCCCCCAGATTTGCTCATGGTCAGATGACTCTGACATCATAATTTGCTGAAACCCAGTCAGACCAAACAAGTCAAAAATGAATGCAGGATTTACCAGAGGGGAAACTCCCTGTTAAATGCCTTCTGCAGTTCAAATATGTTTAGCAATATTTAGCGGTATTTACAAATTGGTGAATTAAAACTTGGATAATGAAAAACACACCACCCATTTGCCATTGCTAAACAGATATTTGCAAATACCCTCCTGTTATACCTTAATAGCTTAGCAAATTTGTTACATTTAAAACAATACAACAGAAACTCACGGTTCCCATGTTTCACACGATTCTTGTGTAAAATAAATGCTACAGTGGTTTGGAGCAAAAACACCACAATTCTATTATCATTCTTTTACCTCCCCTATGTGATATTTAGTATGTGGCTACACATGTAGAACATTATTATTGCCTGTTCAAAACTGAAGATCAGAGTCTTTGTCTTTTTATTGTTGCTTTTCACCAAAACAAGTCGATTTTATGTGTTTTTATTATTGAAAAATTATGATATGTTTAAACCCATAAATTAATGACCTGAAGTCTGATTTAATTATATATATATTTTTTTTTATCATACTTATTTACACAGCAGTGGCCACCCATAGGGGGGGTGGGTGAAAATAGGAATTTTCTGACCATGTGACCAATACATTTCAATATATACCACCGGGTGTGGAGAAAAAGAATAATGAATCTATAAAATGCTCTGTAAAGCGTCTTTGTGACATATGACTGTGAAAAGCAATATATAAATAAAGACTTACTTACTTACTTATATATAAAAACAACAATAATCCTATATTTTGTATTAAGTCCAAATGTTGCTCAGTACAAAATGTTGGTTTTACATAATCTATACAGAAAAAATATAATACAAATGTGTCTCAAATTGAATGCTTTTGATACTGAAGTTTTTTGACCGATGTAACTAAATGTTTCTCATAAATGTTTCTCATATAAAGTGCTGAGTGTGGTTAGTTTATATAACTATTCATCTGTCATCATTACAGGGCAACAGTCCCTCCACCCACCGCATGACATTACTTCCCTTCAGTTTCCTCTTAAGGTCACTAGTGAATAATGGTTTTAACCCCATGTCATTCATATCTCATACCTTATCTGACTGTTGCCCCATACTATTTATCTGCTTCATCTCCTCTGGATTACTACTCTGATCAGGCATATTCTCACTCCCCACTCCCAAGTCCCACAAATCCCCATTCAAGTCTTCAAGTCCACATTTGGCAGCAGCTAGTGTCTTTTCTCGAAATTTTTCACAAAGTCCAAAATAGATGAGAGGTCTGAGGCAGGCGTGGACACAGGCTAAAGCTAACGTAGCCAAGAGAGTCATTTTTCCTGGTACATACGTTTTCGATCGGCTCTTCCAAGTGTCAATGATAAGTGAGATGTTGTATGGTGTCCAACAGAGAAAGAAGACAAGAGCAAGGACAAGAATTAACTTCATAGATCGTAACCTCTCACATGCTTTTGCAGAGTCCTGTATCTGCTTCAGGATATAGTAGAAGAAGATGGTGAGAAGTATGACTGGAAGTAGGAAGGTCACATGGTGTATGACCCGGGCTGGTATTTGCCATTTTGATCGATAAATATTGGCAAAGCAGGAGCAAAGGTTTTCACCATCCATATTCTTTTCTTGAATATAAAGCATTGAAACCCAGTCAGGGATACTCAAAAGAATAGAAACAAGCCAAATGACCAGACACACGATGTGGGTTAGCCATGGTTTCTTCTGGGTAAACAGTTGGACAGAGCGAATTATGTTCAGGTACCGTTCCCCGGCAATGCACAGCAGTTGGAGCATGCCACAGTAGAAGCTGATCTGCAAAAGGAAAATAAAAGTAAAAACACACTCTTGTTGAACTTTCCCTTCTTCTTTCCTCACACCACTTCCTAGAAATCCACAAGGAAGTTTTCGAAGCATAGTGCAACAAAGTGTCAAGTAAGACACAAAAAATAATTTTAAATCAATAAAGAGAGGTGAAATTTATTTAAGATGATATTTGCATTTTGAATATTCTAATATTTCTTCCTCATAGATAAACCATATTTTTATTAGACTTCATTTTTTCTCATCACAGGTACAAAAGGTACATTAAATAGCTTTCAGCCTTATTGTCGGGTAAGATAGATGTTAAGAAACTGTAGAAAAAAGTCTAATTTATTGATGAAATGAACTCTGCAAACCACATGCTGTTACTGACAGAGGATAATCTTGATTAAAAGGCTCTATGCATATTGTTGACCATGTTTAATAATTAGATCTCGATTTGAGTAAAGTTTAAATAGTGGCACAGCCCTACAGAGTAAGTAGACGTACTGACTGACTAACTGGCCTTATTACCATATTACATAGTGTTTGTTACATAGAAGTACTGTAGACAATGCACCTCTGATAGATACATTACATACACATACGGTATTAGGTAAAAAATATAACCTACAGGTACTTTACTGAGTTTATATTTGATGTTCAAGAGGATACTATACTATACTTTCAGTATCTTACTTATAACTTCTTACTTACTGGTACTTACATTTTTTATTATAAAATACATTTTTGCCATGTGAATGACTGAAGAGAACATTTGAGAAAGTATATTGTGTAACTAACATTTAAAAGTAAAAATTACAAGACCTTCCTGATAAACAGTTTCACAGGTAATGAATGGGTGCTTTCAGAGTTTTTGTTTTTTTATTGAACTTTTTAAAGATATAAAAATCCACATTCTTAACTCGACAGAGGAACCAAGGCTGTATCAACAATAAAGAAACTAAAGAAACACCTTAACAAGAAAAACAATACTTTCTTTCACTTTCCTTTCACAGTGTTTAGTACTTACATTAAACAAAGCTCCATTGATCCTGCACCAGAACACGCCACAGCACCATCCCAGGCGAAGAGCAGTCTGAGCAGCCCAGAAAGGCTGTGTGATCAGGAGAATGACATCAGTTAAACCCAGATGGAGCACGAAGATGTCTGAGATGCTCCAACTCTGTCTCTTCAGGCCCAGAAACACCATGACAAGAGTATGACCAAGGACGCCAAAAGCCAAGACTATGGAGAACAGGAGAGGGATAAGCACTGCCGCCGCTCCTCTTGACTCCAGCTCATCTTCATATGTGTAGTCAGTGTCATAGTCATAAGTGCCATTATGGAGAAATATGCCACCAAGATCCACTTCCAGTTCCATTATCTGGTAAAACAAAAAACAAGTGATGAGAGATACTTTAAATACACAGTGGTGCCTCTTACAGACTTCTTTCTAAATGTCATGAGTGTGAAATGATATTCCTCAAACCTCCCTGTTGGGAAAATCCATACATGGTGATGTCACTGAGTCCGGAATGAGGCAACATTTTCAGAGTGAGTTTGGAAAGCACAAGTTTGTCATTGTCAAATTTATACTTCTTCTATATGTAGCTCTTCTACATACGTCGCTGCGCAGTAGATTTTGACAACATTTTATAGCAACAGGAAGTAAGTCAGCTGACATCGCCGCGCGTAAAGTTAGGTACTTGGAAACATATTGAGTCACATGAATGATGGTGTAATAACTATACCGGTAAATAGTGGATAAAACCTGTAATACTACGATAGCTGCATTCAAAACTCGCGAGACATTGAGTCTGCGGTTTAATATTGACAATACACACAAGCTTGAACAGATCTGTCTCAACCAGGGCGCAGGGTTCACGGGAACGACGCCTTTTGGAGGGAGACACTGCAGCTGTTTACGCTCGTCAAACGAAACTAGAAATGTGTTAGCGTCGAGAACGAGTTTGAAAGACACGATGTATTTACTGAATAGGTGAATACTTAACCATTGTAAACAGACAAAGCGTGCATATGTCATGGTCAAAGGAGGAGTTGTAGCCTACGTCCTATAAATGCGCTTGGATATTTTAGTATTTTTGTATGTCCTGTGTAGGTATTTCGAAAAAAAAAAAGCACTTACCAAGCGTTGAGTTTATTCACACTTGTTTGTTTTGGAGTCCGCCGCACGGCCAGAACATGATCTACGCTCGATCATACACATTTACCGAAAACCAAACGCCCGACAATCGGACACACACGACTGATGAGATTTCAGAATAAAAAAAAACATAAGATTGTAGTCAATATTGTACAACTGCGGTCAAGTTCCCCATTTAAGATAAACATATGTCCACATAGCAAATCAACAGCTCTCCAGAAACAATGTCACGAATCTCCAGACTTCTTATCGATAACTAAATTGTGAATTTCAAATAAACATTTAATTTGAAGGGGACTTGTGTTACATTTCTGATTTGTGCGTCACACACTTTGGATTTGACGAGCGCTGAACAAAGCAGACGGGGTAAAACAAAGCGCAGTAAACAAAATAGTCCAGCAGATGGTGCTGGGTGGTTTTGTTCGACTTGACTGAAAAAATTCTGTTCCGTTTTTTTTCTTTTGCAACTACTTGGGTTATTTGGAAGTTAAGTTTAGGTCTCCTACATACACATCAGCACATCCCTGCACCAATTACAGATCTCCTCAGCGAGACACGATTAGCGTTTTAAATCTTGTAGTACAAAAAATGTCATCATAACAGAATATTTTTTACCTAATATTTGAATACTTACTTTTACAAGGATTCTGACATTCTGAATTCTTCCATCCTTTTAATCTTTATACATCCTTATAATCAAACAGAAAAATATTTTTATTTTAAGATGCTGAACCCATCACACATGAAATTAATAATTTAGCATTATTTAGTTTGATGTTTTGTCTCCAAAAAGTAACTGGGATAATAAATACGGGATATGCAAAATTTATCACTAATAAAAATGAAAAGAAATAATAACCTGTTCTACTGCTTTTTATGTATCTTAGTACTTGAATTTAATCATAACATAGTCTAAACAATTAAAACTGGGAAATTACTGAAATTACTGAAAACTATTCAATATTTAGTTTGTTTTATTTAAAAAATATACAAAAACAAAAGACTGAATGTTTACTTTACAGTAATCTCTTCTACTAAAATCATCAACAAAAAAACATACTTCATTTAAACTCAAGGTTGTGAGAACTTTCATAATCAAATGTCGCAATGTGTGTAAAAGCTGCAACTTGTTGCTGAACAAGCCTTTCTGAAATGAAATGAAGAAGTTTCACAACATTTGACATGCAGACATTTGTGATGATTCAAATGTCACTTTCATGTACTGGAAATCAAGCTTTCATTCTTTACCACTTTGCATTCAACAAATCATAAACAGAGCCATAAGCTGCACATAAATATATTCCTTAAAAAGACTTTACAGTTTTGTCACTCTTGAATGTGGTGACTATCCACCTTCATTTCCTCATCTGATCATCTTTAAACCATAACAGAATAAGACGTATTTTCACTGTCTGCAGAGCTGCATGACCCTGTGGTTCTTCGTGGTTTTCTGGGTCTCCAAGCCTCCATCCCCAACCAGCCTTGCTCTATCAGTAAACCTTTGCACATGCGGGCCAGCTCCCTTCTGAACTTCACACCTACAAAGCCATAGAGCAATGGGTTTAGTGCACAGTGGGATAGCCCCACACTCTCTGTGATCAGAGTCCCAATGTCAAGCACTCGGCCCAGGCCACAGGAGGGGGTGAGTAGCTCCAGCTTCAGTAGGCTGTCCGTCAACTGGAAGCAGCTGTACGGGGCCCAGCACACAACAAACACGGACACCAGGGACACAATGAGACGCAGAGACTTGCGCTTCTGTCTGCGTGTGGCATTGCACAGAGATCTGAAGATCCGGATGTAGCAATACAGCATTATCAACAGAGGGAGTCCAAAGCCCAGGATCACACTGACCAGCTGCAGCCCAATTTGCCACTGTGTTGACTTCTCTGGGAACCATACCTGACAAAGGAGAAGAGTCTTGGATGTTCCAGCTTCCACCTGCACAACCTGTTTATAAACAATATCCACTGCACTAAGGCCGAGGCAAAGAACCCAGATAAAAGCACAGGCGATTTGCGCATGGCATGTGTTGCGCTTCCAGCCAGAACTAATGGCATGAACAATAGCCAGATATCTGTCAAAACTAATACAGGCAAGGAACAGGATACCACTGTAGCGATTGAGAGAGAACAAGGCCCCAGAGATCTTACAAACGGCCAATCCAAACACCCACTCATGAGCCCATTGCACAGCAAACAGTGGTAAGGTGAAGGCCAGTAGCAGGTCAGAAATGGCCAGATGAAGCAGGAATGTGTCTGTGAGGGAGAAGGCACAGGCCCCACCACTCTGAGAGCTTCTGTAGCGGCGGATGACACAGAGGACCAGGATGTTCCCCACCAGCGCCAGTACAAACACCAGACTGTACATCACAGGGGAATACCTCTGGGCAAAACCATACGCATCAGCCTGGCTGCAGGGGGCAGCAATGAAGTCTGGGTTAATGTATGTATAGTTATCATAGTCCTCCGGCTGCAGAAAAAAAACAAAAAAAAACAGAACAGGTTCATGATTCTCTTACTTTGAGTATACTAAGAATGTATATGCTGAGTACAAGAAAACTAAAACATGTTATTGCAACATGCAAATATTTGCACAGATTTTTTTAAATAGTCTGAACTGAAAAAGTCTGTACAGGCTTAGATCTACAGTTTTTCTTAAATATAACATTATTGTGACCAAAGAAGCAGTGAGCTTGTCTTTTTCCCATATTCTCTTACTTATTGTAAAATAGGTTCCACTATTCAGTTTGTTGAATGTGATAAATTGGTGCAATATATTTTTTTCATATATTGTCCCCTTAGATTTAAAGGGTTCTGTATTTGTTGAAACTGAGTAATGCCTGTATTCTTATTCCTACCTTCTTGTACCTTCTGTCCACATTAGCAAGATTTTCATAATTAATAATTCAACTACCCAGAATGCAGACAGGACCCAAAAATTCTAGAGAATAATGCATGCACAAAGTTTGGCACATATGTAAAAAACACTCACCCAATAGTCCTCTGTGGTTGGCATCACCTCATCCATAGCTTTGTTTTTTGTTTTTTTCTCAAAGGCACACAGAACACTTGTAATCTAGTACGAGACAGAGAATGCTTGCAGTTCTTGAACAAACTAGTCAAAGATCCCCTTTCTTTCACTATATTTGTCCTATTTGTCCAGAAGAGAGGTCCAGAAAGAAGAAGTTGTAAATTCAGGAACTGAGTCCTTTAGACAGATGCAAACAAAGACGTAGGAATTGATGAGTGTGAGAGGAAATATAGTGAAACATGCATTTAGAAAAAAGAAATGTCTCTGAGACTGATGGCACATGACCAAACAATCTACAAATGTTTCTGCAAACTGTTACGTCCTACTCCACTTTTTTTTCATTTTAAACTTCTGTCAACAAACAAAGCATTAGTTCAAGGAAAAATGATTTTGAATAAACATTTCTGACATATAAAAAATCTCCCTAAACTATATATTACCTCACTTGGTCTTCACTTTTACAGGAAACCCAAAAACAATAAGAGAGATGATGATATCCAACACACGGAACCTGCAGCATCTAGAGATAGCCTTAAAAAGGAACAGGCAGGAAATCTTTGGTAATAATATCAGATAAAAGTAACTCACACATTAACAAGACCTAGGTCTACAGCATGACATCAGTTTCTCTGAATAAGTATTTGATGTAGGGCTATTTGATTTAATTGAAGTAGAGATTAAAGACGAAAATGTGAATACCTGAAGTCACACGAGCAGTGTTTTGGTGTTTAAAATTGTATGGAATATAATATAATATGAATAGAATGTGCACTTAATATTATGGTTCAATAAAATGCAACACTAAAATGAGTCATATTTGTACCAGACAAATAGGAGTTTCAGTTTTACAGTTGATTGAGTAATGCAACAGATGGGCCTCTTGTGTCTTGGCTGGGAGATTGGCGGGTTTTCTTATTATTGTGAAATCCTATTAGTTGTAAAAGTAAAAAAAATAAATAAATAAAAAACAAAACAAAAAAAACAACAACAAAAAAAACAAGCTTGACAAGAGACAAACCGCAATTCAGAATTTAACTGTCAAATTTTCATAGATGTGCAGGGTTCGGACAATTTAAGATGATATCAAGATGCCTTGATATCAATGTAATTCCTATTCCCTTGCTGCCTATAATGTCCAAATGCTACACACAGATTGCTACTTTTGACTCATTTTAGACATATTTTCTATACGTATTGACCCACAGTGTGTACACATAGCACACCTGCACTAAAAGCAAACCCATTTAAAGGCAAATATGGACAACATGGCTCCTTTGTTAGTCAGGCTCTGAAGATAAAATAGCAATAGGCACTCCCATGCAAAGAGTGGATATACACCCCTAAATCAAACATTTTTGTTGTGTCTTTTGAAAGGTTCAGCTTTTCAATCGCTGGCCACATCGTATCAGCATAGAAACTGGACTCAAGAGGACACAGGGGTGATGTCATACTGAGTATAAGAGCTATGGACAAGCTCTTGGCTGCTTGGTCAGGACCTGATAATTAGCAACACAAGGCATATATTTGAAAAGACTTTTAAAAAGGTAAGTTTCAAAAGTATTCTTAATGTGTATTTAACAAGATTTGATGATCCCATAATGTCAGATGGTGGGTGAGGGTCTATGTAACTCTATGGAAGATTTAGTGTTCTTAGAAGAAATATCCAAAATAGAAATCCACAAATGCTGAACTCCATCATTATTCATTTGAGGTTGGCTTCACAAATCTGCAATATTAATCTCATGTCAAATCCTTTCAACTGACAACAATCACATCTCTAGTGTTGAATAATGGCACCACTTTCTGAGATTATTGCAAAAACAAAAAACTAAAAAAAAAAATCTGTTTATTTATACTGACAGCAAAGACACTGAGCTTTGTGCCAGTTCTTGTTTCATGTGGATAGATATTAACCACAAACCAGGCCAACAAATCTGCCAGTTAAACACAAAATACCGCAGAGTTCTGACCTGTTTTTAAACTATAGGGATTTCTGAAAGATGTGCTGTCATGGAAGCTATAGCATGTTTAATTTAGTCTTTTTCTTCTTCTTCTTCTTTGGGGCTTTCTCAGCAGTTATGGCCTACCAGCCGAACGTGATCAACACCCAGCCTCAGGTCACAGTGACGCAGTACACTGTATCTTCTAACACCTCGGACTGGAACTCCAATGTGTGCGACTGCTGTGATGACTGCGGCATTTGTAAGTGCGATTGTGTAGTCTTACCTGAACGTTTTTGAAAGGCAGGTGTAGTTCAATGCCCTGTTTTGCTGTAGGTTTGTGTGCCACCTTCATCCCGTGCATTCTGGGCTGTAAGGTTGCCCAGGACAATGGGGATAGCTGCTGCATCCCATTCCTCCCAGGTGCCATGATCGCTCTGAGGACAAGCATTCGCAGCAGATATCACATTAGCGTAAGTATTTTATTTATTTTTTTATGTGTTTCATTTCCAATTATTGTCTGTTTTTCTAAATATTGGTGTTGGCAAATAAAAAAATATATAAAAAAATGTGTGAAGTCGAATACTAGGCCTGTCATGATAAATACTATATTGACTTACAAAATTACAATCTGTCATATACAACTAATTTTGGAGGAGTCAGTATTCAGTATCATGGGAAATTTTTGTTATCTTTCTATATTACGCTGAGATTTGTGCTGTCGAAGGTTGAATTATTAACTTCTATGACTCACTGATACAAACAAACTACTTAAGTGATACATTCTGATATTTATTCATTGCAGTATTTTTTTTTAACAATATTGTACATTTAAAAGTGTTTTTGGTATAATTCTGCTTTATGGTTTGGTTTCAATATTATTGTTTAACATCTATATTTTCTTCATCAATATATCGCACTTCAAAATTTGTTATCATGACAGGCCTATTGAATACTACAAACTACTGCATTATACATATTGTTGAAAATGAGACAATGAGAGCTGACATTACTGTGCTTCCATACAGGGCTCGGTGTGTGACGACTGGGTGGTCATGTCATGTTGCCCGCTTTGTGGATTATGTCAGATGGCGCGAGAGCAGAAGATAAGAGGGCACTAAAATATAGGTTTGATGCCCGTGGAAATCACCATAAAAATGAACCATAATGAACATGTGAGGAAATTATCAAAAAATAGAGAGTAGGCCAATTATAAATTATATACTGAGAAATAAGTTTCAGTCCAGATAAACAGCACCACCCAGTGCATGACAAAGAACAAAAGAGACATTTACATTTTTTTTATTTTGAAATATGCACATTATTTATTTGAAAATGTAAATACTGCAGCTCATCCGCTTAAAGAAATGCTATGTATCAATTTCTATTTAACAGTGAGAAATGTTAAGATTTATATTAAATACATTTTCTTCTCAAGCCAACTGAAATAAAAAAAATTGTGAGTTTTGAGCATTTTCTGGTAGAAGTTTTATTTTCCAATTAAGTATTTATCTATCCATCATTATTTGGTATTTTCTGTTACTGGGTTAGAATAACACATACATAGTATTACAAGTCAAATATAGCGAGGCACGTTTGTATATAATTAGGGGTGTCAAATTATCACGTTAATTGCGATTAATTAATTACAGTCATATTTAGCGTGTTATGTTTTTTAATCGCGTTAATCTCATTTTTAATCTCTAACTTTACAGTTTCTGTATGCGAGTTGCTTTATTATAAAATCTGTTTTTATGTGTTGTTGGGACAACACACACACACAAAAAACACATTCATTATTTTTTTATTTTGGTAATTCCACTCATTGCCGGAAACCCACACAAAACGCGCGCAGTAAGAGCGATGTAAACGTCATGTTAACGTTTGCCGGCGTTAGTCGCACAATGGACGAGGTCGAAGAGCCAGTAGAACAGAGGCAGCAGTGCACAGGGAAAAACACATTCGTGTCTTGGAAATTATTCTCCCAACGTGAAATATAAAAGAAAATAACAAATATAAAATCGCCTACAACTTAATGTCACTGGTGAAAACAACCTGCATAGGCTCATGATGTCTGCACTACTGTCCTATAGTGACCTGCCACATGAGGGGACACGCACACAAACACACTCAAATACAAATACACACACACACACACCTTCATCATCGTCATTAACCTGAGAACGCGCGGACCACGTTTCTTTCCGTAGTTACTGCGCGGACACCGACGTGCTCCCGTGCGCCGCGTACGTTTTCTCGCGTACGCTGCGAAAACTGCGCTTCCTCCTGTGCGCCTTTAAACCAGAACTAACACCAAGACTAAAACCGGGACTAACCCAGTCCAGGACTAAACCAGGACTAAAACCAGAACTAAAACCAGTGATCTCATATATAAAGCATTTCTCTATCAATAATATTTTTAATATGGTTAAGGAAAGACTGGACTTTTTATTGTCTTTAAGTAAACAAAAGTTATTATGTTCAGATTTCCTCATCTTTGCTACTTTACAGCAAACAGTTTCTTATTCATGGAGACTTGGGCTCAACAGTCAATTTGGAGAGATTTGTTAAACAATAAATGACTTTATAAAGTCACTTTTTTTTGTTCTATATCAGTCTTTTGATCTGCCACAATAATGTAATAATGAATTTAAATGAAAATACCTCAACTTGAAGGCTTTTCTCTGCATTTTTTAGGGGAGATTAAAAAGAGATTAATTAGATTAATTAATTACAGATCATAATTAATCTCTCAATTTTTTTAATCGCATGACAGCACTATATATAATATAATGTGTGGTAAATAAAAACTGGAGAAGTGTGTAAGAATAAAAGAGATATGAAAGTGGATCATGAGGAAGTAAGATATAACAAAACAGACTTATTTTGTACATGAGAAACAAAGCAATAATGCACCTGGAAACTGCCAAAATATCTGGTCAAGGTAAGGCATTTGATTTATGTATATACATACTGTAGATTCAACTCAGGTTTTAATGAGACTTTAATTCCTTAAAGCATAAAATTATGATTTGTTACCATAATTAATTTTTACAATGACTACAAGTTAACCCTTTTTTTATATTTCAGTGTCATTGAAAAGTATAAATGCGTTAACAATGATTGCGGGTCTGAAGAGAGTGATGACAAGTCATACCTGTCAGCTGCTGGTAGTTACTGCTGTGCTCCACGCTGTTCAACTTGTCACCAGTTACAGCTTTAACAACTGCATTAATAAAGACTATGGAAAAACATTCACTTGTTGGAGACGGACTGCGGAAAATATATCTGCAATTGTGGGTGACCTGCCGCTTTCTACAATCAACCTCACAATCTCATTTAATCCAATCAGGCACATTCCGGACAAGAGCTTTGTTCATTTACCAAACCTGATACAGCTCAGTCTGGAACGAAACAAGCTATCAACACTCGGTGAACATGCTTTTCAGAGCCTGCATCAACTTCAGGTGTTAAATTTGAGCACAAACAACATATCACATCTGGAACCCTTTTTATTCAAAGACCTAAAAAATCTCAACTTTCTGGCACTAACATTGAACAAGTTAAAAGTCCTTCCAAACCAAATATTTTTAACAGTTTTAAAACTGCAAATTCTACATTTAGAGGAGAATAATCTTAACAATTTTTCCCAAATTGCTTCTGCAGTTTCTCACCTACAGAATCTGAGAACCCTGAATGTTTCTTTTAACAGTTTGACCTCTCTCTGCCACTCTAATGCCTCTTTACCTCCGTCACTGTCTAACCTGTACATACAAGGAAATAATTTGTCTTCTTTGGGGTGCCGTCGGTCCTTTTTCAGCAAGTTGAAATATTTAGATTTGTCTTTCAATCCGTGGATCTCAACAGAGGCTTTTGAAGGAGTGGATTTAGCCCATTTAAACCATTTGCGTTTGCAAGCCACAAATGTCAGTATAATACATTTTTTAAATAATAGTAACGTAAGACCTAATTCTGTTGATTTTTCTAATACCAGCCTAACAAATGACAGTTTAGTTGAGTTATGCAAGGTCCTAGGTAGAAGAGCAAAAAATATTACACATCTGAATCTGAATTTGAATTTGATACAACAACTGTCATCGACATCACTGCAGTACTGTCCTCAACACATTGAGCAGGTGAGCCTATCAAGAAACAAACTGAAGGACACAAACTGTCTGTTGTTTCTCAATCACACCAAAGACATTAAAGTTTTTAAAGCAGAGCATAATCATCTTGGTGAGCTTGTTTCATGCAAAGGAAAAATTATTTTTGAAAATCTCATAGACATTAGCTATCGCTACAACTGGATTCTCTCTGTCAGTAACAATGCTTTCTATAATACACCAAATTTGGTTAGTCTTACTCTTAACATGAATTCAATTGCAAAGTTAAGCAGGAAGGCCTTTGAGGGTCTGCGAAATCTTGAGAATCTACGATTGGACAATAATCTAATGAGAGACTTGTACAGTGAATTGTTTCAAGACCAAGTTAACCTCAAAACACTTAATTTAAATTCAAATCGTATTTCAGTCATTTTTAGCAGGGTATTTAGCAGTTTAGGAAAGCTCAAAATACTGGACCTTGGAGGAAATACAATAACTCGTATAGAAAAACAAGGCTTTCATGGGCTTACAAGTTTGTCCAAACTTATTTTAGATGACAACAATCTCAAAGAAATTGACTCTTCTCAGTACTACGCATTTTCTGATAAACTCAAAGTGCTAAGCCTTAAAAGCAATAAAATCAGCTTTTTCACTCAAACTACCAGTTCACCATTTATGAATCTCAGTCAGCTCAGTAAGCTCAGTTTAGACAGTCAGCGGCCTTATGGACTCATTCTCTTACCCCAATATTTCTTTCGGGGCCTCCACTCTTTGAAAGAACTCTATCTCACAAACAATCACATCTCTCATTTGGCACCAGATGCTTTTGATGATCTGACAGAGCTGCAATATTTAAACTTAGACTTACTGCTGTGTGGGTGCCGTTCAGCTTCAGCCAGGAATGTTCAAAAACTTGAGGAATCTGACCCGACTGATAGTTGAAAACATGGGGCTCCAGAATTTCTCAAAAGAAGTGTTTGGAAACCTCACAAAACTACAATCATTACAGCTTAACCGTAATGTGATGCATAGTATTGATGTGGACACCCTTGAAAGTCTTCCAAACCTGGAATACATTGACATACGCAATGTTCCTCTTAGCTGCACCTGTGAGAACTCCCAGCTGCAAAACTGGACTGTGAACAATGCCAACGTTCAGGTGGTGTTCCTACATGACCACCCCTGTCAAGAAAGTACAAAACATAAATTCTACAGTTTTGATACTAAGGTGTGTTATGCAGACCTCGGACAGTACCTCTGTTTCATCACAGCAGCTTTTCTTTTTCTTTTTACAAGTTTTCCAATTATTTACGTGAAGCTCTACTGGACGTTTAAGTACAGCTATTTTGTGTTTCGTGCCTGGTTTAGTGAGCAGTGGCGCCGACTGAGAGATGAGGAAGAAAACTGTGTATACGACGCTTTTATCTCATACAATTCCTCTGATGAACAATGGGTTATGGAGCAGTTAGTGCCCAACTTGGAGGGAAACGGGTCCTCTTTCAAACTCTGTCTACATCACAGAGACTTTGAGGTTGGACGTAACATTGTCGATAACATTGTTTCAGCAGTGTACAGCAGCCGTAAAACCATCTGTGTGGTGAGCAGGAACTTTCTCAGAAGTGAGTGGTGTTCATTGGAAATTCAACTGGCCAGCTATCGCCTCTTTGATGAGCACAGGGACGTTCTGCTTCCGGTTTTCCTGGAGACTATTTCGGAGCAACAGATTTCATCCTATCATCGAATGAGAAAGGTCATGCTTAAGAAGACCTATCTGCAGTGGCCCGGCTCTGACTGCACACACCCAGAACAAGCCCAAAAGCTGTTCTGGACCCAGCTACGGAGAGCTATGAAGGAGAACAGCCAATATGAAAATGACCTGTGCAAAAGTACACAGTCCGAGTGTGAAATATCAGGTGACATACATTACTTGCAACCTTGATTGTATAAACATTTATTGAAATTTATCAGCATGTAAATAAAACTGTGATGGCTTTTTTAAAATATAAATGAAATCAGTGTTGAGCTGATGATGCCTCTTTATGATGTTAACCTATAGTAGACTCAGTAGAATATACAATGTTTCATACAGATATGGTAATATTTGCTTCATACAATGCTTTCCTAAAAACTTCCATCGCTTGTTTCAGAATTTTGCCTCTTAGCAAATATCTGCTCTAAAAATATGTGGAAGTCCATAATTTTTTGTTTCTTTTTTACATGTAAAACTTTGTAATGTTGTGAAGGTAACTTGATAAATTAAAAAAGCACTGTTCTTTGGTCAAAGCATTGTTTACTGGTGTGCCTTTTTTTTTTTTTTTTTTAAATGCACAACTCAGTATAGTCTCATGGGAGGAAAGGACCAGTGCTCAGGGCTTGGAAAAGAGGAACTGGTGGGTAGAATAGGGCCCTTTTCAAGCATGTAGGAGGGAGGGTAGTGTGCCAAGTCTACAGGTCTGAAAGAAGGGGAGTCTAACGGGAAGTTTACATGGCTGAAAGGCTCAAAGGAGCATTTGTGATCAAAATAAGGGATTTCATTAAAGAAAGATTTTCCATCAAAGTATTTCTGTGTTTCAAATGAGCTGTGCATGTGTGGAAAAGGTACTGTTTCTGAATGAAGAGGTTCAACGCTGTAGTTATTCATAATACTATCAAGTGGGTTCCTTCTGTGACTCACTGTAGTTATGTCAGAGAAAGCCATATAATTTTGGTGTTCTTGTTGAGGCACGGAAAATTCTTGTTCTTGTCTGCTAGCGAAAAAGTCGTCTACACGACCAGAGTTTTTAGGCTCATCAACACAAGATGATCCGAAAGGAGGTGAGAACAAATAGTCCCTCTCTCTTGACATTGCATTTCTAAACTCAAAATCCACAGAGAACTGCGAAGAGGTCCTATGACTGAAGGTACCGTCCGGGACAGCAGGATTCTTAGGTGAAGTACCTAACCATTCTGCGGTCTTTACAGAAAGCACAAAAGACTAGTTTATTCACTCAAAATTATGATTGACTTGACTATGCTACTAAGTTTTCTGTATAATGCCTTACCTCATCCAGTAGGCTGGACCAGTCATTCGAGTGCCAGTCAAAGACAAATCTTCCAGTTTGTTCAAATGAGGATGTAGTAAAGCCTGTGGTTTTAGATTGTGCTGGGAATTCATCTGAAAAAAAAAATTATAATAATAAAAATTACAGACAATATTTAACCTAGTAAACAAACTTACACAGTTTACATTACCTGAAGAAAAGGCCCCTTCTTTTCTGTTAGCAAATATAGGGCTACAACACAGCTCAGAGCCTTCTTCTTGAGCATCATCACAAGAATATAATTTTCGCTGGATTTTCAAAACGTTGCTCCTAAGTTGCGTTCCGTGCTTTTCCTGCAGTACTTTTACTAGTGCCTCTCTACTCTCTGCCACCAGGTCTCTTTTTCCCAAGAGTGAAAAACAAATGCTGTTACATAAACTGGCTGCTATTGCTTTCACAGACTTAGCTACAGAATCTGCATCCAGGTTTTCTTGTTGTGTAATAAGACTGCTAGATGCTCTTGCCATGGGAGGACTAGAGGGCAGTAAAGGAGTGGGCTGACTGACTTGTCTTGGATTAGCTGATACATGTTTTTGTGGAGTTCGCTCTATAATAGATTCCACAGAACCTGGTAAAATACTCTTGTTTTCATTAAAGCTACCAGGAGTCTGGTGTGAATCACTGTTTGCATACATTCCAGGTTGGGCCTCCTTCATTCCAGTAAATACAACATCAGAGGAGTTGACACTTTTGTTAGTTTCTGTTGAAGAAATAGCAGTTTTCCGAGGCCTCTGCCCAGGTGTGAGGTCTGACACCTGATTATTAGACTCCATTGTTTTCTTCTCTTGCCTTTCGGAATAATTTAATATCCTTGGAGTTTGTAAATCTTTGCTGTTAGATATTACAGTCTCTTCATTTGTGGAATCTAACAAACATCCAGTCTCTTTTGTAGAAGGATTGGCAAATTCTGTATTGCTTTTTTGTTGCAGTTTTTCACATCTATCATGTTTCCTCTGCTCACTCAACAGGCGTTCAATATCAATAGACTTGACTTCATGGTTAAAGAGGCCGTGATGCCCTATGAGACGTCTATCTGTTATCACACTAGGCTCATGTGTAACATGAGTAATATTTGGAAGTACATCTAAGGTATTATGGAAACACTGGTGGACACAGGAGACATCTTTGCTGGTTTTATGGTTGCAGTAATGGTGACAAGATTTGGCTCGTGGGGCTTCTTTTCCTCCATCTCGTATCTGATTCCTCTCTTTGCGGGTGCGCAGTGTCTTCATTCTTTGCTGGCTCTCTGATTTACTACACTTTCTACATTTGCAATCTGCACCTGCCTTGCCCACAGGTAAAGCATCTTTAAAGGCTGGTTTTATCTTTCTGTAAAAAACTTTTGATGCTTTATCTTTAGCTAAAGAGGGTCTCCCACACACATGGCTCATCCTGGACAAGATTCTGTAAAAAAATAACCATTACAAAACTATTATCCTTTTAAAAGAATTGATACTGTGTGTATGACATTCTCAAATTTGCTATAATGCTTTTATAATTATTAGTTTAAACTAAAACAATAGTAATGTTTACATTAACTTTTAGACAGTTTCATAAAGTTTAGTCAAAAAAGTAAAGTTTGTGGAAAATCGGTTAACGTTGAAACACGACACACAAGCAGTATTCAAAATACTTTGTTACCTCTTTAGCGGTACCGTATTTACTTTCTTGATTAGACAGTTTTCCAACAGGTGTTTTGTCAAGTGAGCTTCATTTTCAGATTTAGACAGATTAGGTGAAGAGAGGGTGTTGCTAAATCCCCATAAAGATGACAAAAACAACACAAATGACAAAGGTGCTCATATAAAAGTATGAATATAAAGCTACCTTAAATTCCAGTAGATTTGATTCGCCTGAGGAGATCCCGTTGCCCGGCAACCTCGTGTCGCAGGTGTGCGCATGAGCGGCCAGGACCAGACGAGTCCATTCACACAGAAGGGGGCAAATCTTTTTCTCCCTAAATGTTTAAATCCGCGGTGTGCTGTTTTTTGTCGGTGTATGCAATTAATATTTCACTTAACCAGATCGTTAACGCCATTTTAATCATTTTACACTATACTTGCACAATAATGAGAATTGTTTGTCACCTACTAGGCAATTGTGGTACAGCCGACATTGATCAAACGTGCACTTCCTGGATTTGGGTGATGTCGATAATTTTATTATGTTTATGCTAGGTCCAGTAATATACTTAGAACCAACACTGGATATGATTTCATTCAGCATTAAGTTTCTTATTTAACCTTAAATAACAGTGTACACAGTTGGTGGAACCTACAGCTGACTGTCTCTGTCGTATATTGCTAGCATCATTAAAGAGGGCTAACTAGCTGTTGAAGCTAACTCAGCTGCTCTTCAACCATCGCCCGCCTTGTTGTTGTAATGTATTTGTAAGTTCTTCGGGTGCAAAAATAAGAATACCAAAGTCGCAGCTTTTACCAAATCTAGAAGCGCCAAGACATGAGTGCAGAAGATGCAAACCCCGCCGCCACACCCACCCCTTGTGGAGACATTCAAGGAGATGGACGGTGGATGTCCATGGTGTGTGAGAGTAAAAATTCTTAAGTGATTTTCCAGTTACTCCTGGTCAATGTTTTCCCTAACTGCATTTTACCATTGCAGCATGAACGTTTTGTGTCTGATGGCAAAGGAAAGGAGCCTGAGGTTGTTTTTGTGGGAGACTCACTAATTCAGTTGATGCATCAGTTTGGAGTAAATACATACATTGCTTAAGTTTTAAGACAGTTCATCATTTGTATTTTTTATTTTGATTTTCATTTTGTCTCCTTTACAGATCTGGCGACAGCTGTTTTCACCTCTACATTCCCTTAATTTTGGCATCGGTGGTGATGCAACACAACATGTGCTGTGGAGACTTTATAATGGTGAACTTGATAACATCAGCCCCAAGGTCTGGATTTGTTGGCACAACTGATTCTTTGTGTTCGCTGTTATTTTATACTGATCTGAAAGCAGCGATTTTATTCAGTTGAGTCATTGTTTTCTTTTTGCATTCTTTCCCTTAGGTTATAGTTCTGTGGGTAGGGACCAACAACCATGGTCATACTTCTGAAGAAATCTGTGGAGGCATTATGGCTATTGTCCAAGTCATCAAGAACAAGCTCCCACAGGCTCACACACTTGTACTTGTATGTTATACTTTTGTTTTTACACCACATGCTTATGTCTTAAATCCTCACCAGCAGCAGTTATATTTCTAACTACTTTATCAACCATAAAAGTTGATATACCAAATGTCAAAAAGAGAAATGATAACACAACTCTCACAAAATAGGACAAGTATCTTTGGATGAAATAAACATTTTCTTAAATGAAGGGCATTGTACAATTGCAAGTATTTTTTTTTTTATTCAAACTTCTTGTATATTGTGTAATACTTGTAAAGGTAAGTTCAGGTATGCTACTGGTACAACCTATCAGGGGGAGTTTTCAATAACTTTTGTACAGTACAGTACTTATACAGAAACTTTTCATTTCAAATCCATGTTTTTGTGTGTTTTCAGGGTCTGCTCCCAAGAGGTAAAATGCCAAACCCTTTACGTGAGAGAAATGCCATGGTGAACAAACTGGTGCAAGAGGCCTTATCTTCTCTTCCGTACGCCTCTTTTCTTAATGTTGATCCTGGCTTTGTGCTCTCCGATGGCAGTATCTCCCACCAAGACATGTACGATTATCTTCACCTGACTCCCAAGGGCTATCAGGCTGTGTGCGAACCTCTGCACGAACATATCAAGTCTCTGCTGGAAAAACCTGCCGAGCATTGAAGAAACAACTTTTTTGTTCTGAGCAACCTTAAACTCTTGCCTTACACTTATCAATTCCATATTTTAAGTTATATCCTCATAAAATCTGTGCTCTTTTTTAAAGGCTTAAGATCTTATAAGAACAAATTTGCTTTATTCGCCCCTTTTTTTCCAGAATGTCCATTCATATTACATGCTTTTTTTTTTTTTTTAACAAACTGTCTTGTTTACTTATTCCTATGCTCTGCTGTATGTTGGTGAGTTGCCACAATACAATGAATATTGTATGTTATAAATACTTATACAGTATATGCACTATATATGTAAGAACATCTAATGTTACAGGGCTTTTTCTTAAACTAAAATGCAAATGAATCTACTCTTAAAACATAATATGCATTGCCATTTTCCTTGATAATATTCCAGGATGTGATGCATTAAACTGCAAAAAGAAAGCAAAATAGTCTTCACTCAGTTTCATCATGTGCTCAAATCAGGTGAGGTATTAGGCAATGTCAGTGATGCAGACTGCTTTATAAAGATTGCTGAAAGATGCCCTTATAAGTGATTGCCTTTGGTTCAGCACAGGTACATTTCAAGATGTTAGATTAACTTTTTTGTATTTTGCTGGAATCAGTCATACTTTTTGAGAAGTGTCAAAAGAGCAAGTAGTACATTTGGTACACATGTTGTAGGAGGTCTCAAATTGTTTTGAAATGCAACCCAACATCACTTTATCTCTTTTACCATCATCATAAGGCAGTTTTTTGGCAAATACACTGAATTTTACTCATTCACTGTCACCCACTGTAAAAGTTCTGTCTCAAATGTCTCAAACCACTGGCAGACAGTGAATAGACCCGCTTACAATTACTGACATGGACACCATCTTTTATAAAGCGCTATGAAACACACCTTTCACACTTACACTGCATCTGCATACAGGACTTGAGGACACCATGGGATCACAGTTGATTTGGCTTCCTCTCTTACTTTTAATATACTACATGGACCAAGTTGATGGTAATGAACAATTCTTATAATTGATGTTAATAATGTGTAGGTAATACTTAATTCTTATGTTAAAGGAAGTTACAAGATGCATGACACACATTTGAAGTCAGGCAAAGCTGGTAAGTTTATTTTAATGCTTACTTTGTCGACCTTACAATAACATCTTTTTTTAAAAACGTGCATTGTAGAATCTGTTCCTGGAAACCCTGTGATTTCTCTGGAACTGAGCACAAGGTTTCACAACAGACTTTGTAAATGTAAAGGTATGCAGAAAATGACTAAAAAGACTTAGAAATATATTCATTTTTAATTGTGTTTTGTTGGTTTGTTTAACCAGTACCTGGAAGACGGGAAGAGAACCCATGTACCTGCACCAAGTCAGCTCGACGCAAAAACAGGCGTGCAAAGTGTAAGGTTACCATGAAAAAATAACACATAAAAACTTTTGAAATTTTAAAAGACTCACTTGTGTTTTATCTTTGTGAAAAGTGGGAAAACTGTGCCAAAGAAAAAAGATGAAACATCTGAAGATATGCCAGCAGGTGCCCCATCGCCCCATTGTTCCCATCTGATACACAATAAGGAACCATCCTTTTTTCCCTGATATGCATAGTCTCTCAGCTACACCTATAATAACAGCATACATGTATTTAAACATTATTATAACAATGTTTTTCTTTGTTTATATTTCCTAATAAATAACTTTCTACAGATAAGTGTGTTTGTGGGATAGTTTGAACTTCTTTTTTTTTTACCTTTAGTATGTCCATTACTGTTGAAGATTATTACAGTCAATGTGAGATTAATATAAATTTAGATTGGATTGTTGACTGAAAGAGACTCTTATACTCATTGTAGTCTCCGCATTGAAAAAAAAATCACTCCACACATTTGACACAAAATATAAAAAATTGTCCTGGCTCTCTAATGAACAGTTTGTTGGACAAAGAGGAGATAAAAGTCACTAATGTTTTTGAGCTATATTTTTATTCATAAAGCCTCATTAATGTGCATCAGAGAAACACACATTAATTGGAATACAAACTAGCTTTCTTTCTCTAAAACTTGATATTTAAAGCTTTGCCAATTAGGTTAAACAAGTCAACTTCTACTGTTATAGCTTCCATTGTTTTCGTGTTACTCAATGTCCTATAAACTGAAAGCATCTGAAAGGCACTACTGAAATCTTACGCAAGTGGGTTGTTATTCTAATCTCTTGTTTCCCACCTTTCACACAACTTTATAAAAACTAGCCATGAAGTGCATGTCATAGCTTGAATATTCTGAAGTGTAGATTTTTACGGAGAATTGATGTATTACTCATCAGATTCTACAAGCAAAAAAACAAACAAAAGAAACAAAATGAATGCTTATTATATAGTTTTAAGATCGAAAATCAACCAAGAACTATTAAATTCATTTCAACCTTGAAAGACTCAGAGAAACATGGAAATAAGTAAAGCATTCAAAACTAGACAGCTATTAAACAACTGGAAAAGAGGGTGCAAATGCTGATGTTGCACACAGGAGGGGGTGACCTGCCGCTGCGCCAAGGTAGGCCAAGGGGGAAAGAGCTGGGGAGAGGCAATGATTGGATGTAAAGCTGCAGGTATGTCTTCCAGGCTTGAATTTTCATTTAAGCTTCATTTCTGGGGGATTTGTAATATGCGGATTATCTTCGTAAATCTTTAGTGCACTTGGATGAGGTAGCAAAAAATTTAAGATTTTATTCTTACATTCATTCATTCTCAATTCCTTGTTTAAATTGTGCATCAACATAGTGATTATACCCATGTTGTGTATTTTATATATTAGTAAATGTAAAAACCACCCCAGCCAAACACAGCACACAGAGAAGCCACAAATCTGCAGGAGGTTGTTCTGATCCAGAAGTGGCATCTATTCAAAAGGGACAAAAGACAAAAAAAATCATTAAATATACAAATTTGTCTTCTTATAAGTGGTAATTTTTTTTCTCTTCTAACCTTTTATTTCGAGGTATCCGGTGACATTGTGGCTCAGGTTGGTCTCATTGTTGAAAGCGAAACAGGAATAAGAACCACTTTGGTCTTTAGTAACATGGTACAACTCCAGTATAGAGTCAGTGGTGTTCAAAAGCTGCTGGTTGAAAACCCAATGTGTTTGAGCTGGAGGATTAGACTCAGCTGCACACACTGCCGTCACATTGGATCCAGTGGTATGGGATCCAAGAGTCAGGTTCATATTATCAGGCCCATCTAGGAAAAAAACAATCAATAAAAAATCAAAAGTAATTTGAAGAAGACATATCATGTGTACAGTATAATGTATGCGGACCATTATTTACATTTTGTTCATTGTAATTGTAATTTTAGTCTTAATAACAGAAACAGGTACAGCCTAAAGAGCAGGGCAATGGGTGGAGATAGGGTGTAGGTGAAATCAGCAATTTTCTGAGCACTCAAGCCTCATTTGCAGCACAACAAATTACTCAAACATGCAACTCTGAGTAAGTTCACTCCAAAATGAAATGGGATTCTACTGTATTCCAATGTTTTACTCACAGTATACGGTGAAGAAGACTGCATTACTGGTTGCGTTACTGACAGGGTTAAAAGCGGAGCAAGTGAAGGGTCCCTGATCATAGCGGCTGACATTGACTATGGTGAGAGTGGAGTTTCCGTTAGTGAGCTGGACTCGGTCACTGGCTGTGACTTCAGAGCTCCTGTTAAACCAGGCCAGTGAAACAGAGGACCCAGAGGAGACAGAACAAAAGGCAACGACCGCACCCATCTTGTGTTCAATCAGAGTAGAAGCACTGGCATTTGCGGTAACATTAGAAACAGGCTCTGTGGGAACAAAAAAATGAATTGTGAATTAATTATGATTTGCTTTTTTTTTTTTTTTTTTTTTTTTTACATTTTACAATAGTGAATAATGTGAACCTATTGAACTACTGACCTACCACTCGCTGCGTAAAGGTGACTATCTAACTATCTAATGTTTCTGGTGGAGGGTTTGCTATTTGCTTGTCTCCATGGAGATATTATTTGCAGATCTGACCACAGACGGTATGATTCACATAGGTGCTGCTAGGTGCCACGCTCCAAATAGGAAGTGAGCATGGGCACGCTCCACTGACTCTGGCTCCAATTTATTTTTTATTATATCACTGATTTGCTGGTAAATTAATTCCTACTCCTAATATGGCTCTTAGGTTCAAATTATCTCAAAATTCTCTCCATACTGTTAGGCTTGGTGGTGTCTTGTGTCTATTGCGATGGATATGTTTAATGCCATACTGTGCAACGTTACAGGAAAGTTTATAGCATCTCCATGGCTGCAAACAGGTGACAATCTCTCCAAAAAGTTACATGATGCACCTTTAAAGTCTATATTTTTACTTAGTTAAGCTATAGTTTGGACCAAGCACACTTACTGACTAAATGGTTGTATTCTTCCACTAAATAACCTCAGTGTAGTCCTACTTGAAACCTCTTGATGAGCTAATTGTAGACACTGCTCTGTCTGAAGCTCTGTTACTCAAACTTTGATCTTTATTTTAGCACAATCTGACCAGAAAGAGCTGATTTAGTTGGAACTACAACAGATGAGCAGATGTTTCCTCTTAAATAAAATAACATTCACAAGCAAGCTAGCATTAGATTGTTCTGTTTTTCTGTTTTTTGCACACTTTTTGTTGAAAATCAAACCCCCAAACCGGACCATGAGCGCTCGTATTGATATCAGGCTCGAGAAAAGGTCCATTCAATCCATTTTGTATTTTTTCTTGAGTTTTCAGACTATCTTAAACCCTATTTGATATAGTGTTTGCTAATGTGTGTATTACATCTCCATGGTAACAGTTGAACATTACAACATAGAGATCATCAAAGTATCAATAGCCATATACTGCCACCTAGAGCAATACTTTACACTTAGAGGTAGGCCTATATTTTAACAGATAATAATAATGTGTTGTTGATAACTCAGAAAAGAACTAACATACAGAGCTTATTTTAAAGGTCCTATATTACACAAAATTGACTCTTGTTGTTTTAGCCATGTTATTATATTGTTACCTCATCAAAAACATACCTGGAGTTGTGTTTGTTTCATTCACATATGTTTTAAGAAATCTTTTATTATTAGTCTGTCTACACCTCCAAAGCTCAAAATGCTTTGCTCCACCTCGTGATGTCATGAAGTGGTAGTCTTTAAATTAACAGCTATCCTTGACCTTTAGTTTAGTAAAGATGTGCAATTCCAGGGTTGAAGTTGAAGGTGTATGGAGTTTAAAAGAGTTTAAAAGCACAATGGACACAGTGGCACTTCCTGTAATACCAGATGACCTCACGTTTTCTGTTGAAGAAAAGAACCCAGCCTAAATATGCAGAGTTTGTGTGTTAAACATGTGTGTGTGAATGAAACAAAACACAACTCCAGGTATGTTACTGATGAGGAAACAATATTATAACACAAATCAGAAAATAGCATAATCTGGGCCCTTTAACACTGAACAATGACCTCTTACTCTTACCCATTACAGTGAGTCTGACAGACGCACTGAGCCCCGGGTCCACAGTGCTTCTCATGGTGTACACCCCAGAATCATTCACACTGAGAGAGCTTAAAGTCAGTGCTTTGCTGCCATCTATTGATGCCCGGCCCAAATGGCTGGGGAAGACTGCCACCTGGTCTTGGTCACCTAATCTGGTCCAGGTGAGTATGAGGGCCTCCCCCACTGCCCAGCTCCCACTGCTCGGGGTGGTGGATGTGGACAGGGACAGAGTGACGCTTTGACCCACCACTGCTGGGTTAGCTGAGGGTTTGATCTCCAAAGCATTGCAGGCCTCTGGGAGGAGAAGAAAATAAATGGACTTACAGTATGTTGGAACAGGTGCAATTGCTGTTAACATTATATAAAACATGGGTATAATATAAAAAGTAGGCCTATGCATTTGTACAAGTTGCAATTTACAGCAGAAGACTATTACTGGAGCCCAGTTTTGTTACTTAGGCCTGTTACGCTAACACATTTTGAAACATGTTATAAAGATATACTGCAATAAAAGATAATACTTAAACTACTTTATGCCACGAACTCAATGACTATAAAGCAAGACAACCCCAGAGAACCATTTTTACAGAGTCAGCATCATTAAATGAGCTGCATCAGATAAATAACTGAATGAATCAATAATTAGAAGTAACTTATTAAGCCTTTTACAGCTTAAATCTTATTGTTTTACAACAAATAAACCCACTTATAGAAAGAAATTGTACACAATAAATATTGAGATCCAAACTACATTGTTCCAGCCTTCATATATTGAACAAAAAGTCAATATAATAAATATGGTGATAGGCCTACGTGTACTTTCAGCTGTAACATACTGACGTAAGCAAAAAACTTGACTGACAATGCTCCCTAATAATTTATTCCAAATACATTTTACATGAACATTGTTTTAACAGTCCATGATATGTTATTTGATTCCATTATTTACCACTATGAACTACTTTTGCAATTTTCAATGTCTGTATGAAAAATTGCTGAAGGTGAATACAAATTTAAAACAAAAATGGAAGTGATACAATGAGGATGAGAGAGAGAAATTAATATTTTACAAGTCATTTTAATTCCATAAAAAATACCAGGATGTACTAAACATATAACAGCCTACCTGGATGAAACACCAGCAGCGCCACAGTTGCAAACATGAGTCTCTCCATTGTGTTTTTACTCTGAAAGTACCACTGCCCACTCCTCTCTATTATACATGGATATGATTATGACCAGCCCCCCACCCTTAAACCCACACTCCACTGCGCCCACCTTATCTGCAGGTGTTCATCATTGTTTAGTCATTTTTCATTCAGAATCACAAAGAAAGCTTTGCAGGGTTAGTTTGCTGAGTGGGGTGAAGTTCTACAGATGACCAAACACAATATGACAAATTATGACAGAAGGTATGTCATTGAGACTACTGTTGGGTTGACATCACTGAGGATTTTGAAACAAATTTAAATTTTAAACAAAAACTTGGCATGTTAATTTTTACAGATCTAAAATAAAGAAACAACACAAAATCCCAAAAATGTTAAATAATGTTTCTTGAGCAGGAATTTCAGTACATTGTTCAGTCTCTCAAATTTGCATCAATATCAAAATTGGTCAATGGTCGAATATGGAAAGAAAGAATATTTTAAAAACCTAAACAAAATAAGTAAGTATGATCATTACTAATAAATACTATATTTACAGTGACAATTCTTTTAAAATGACAAAATGTATTTGTGACACGTTAAATAGTATTATTGTGTTTTATAAAAGTTATTTTTGGATACAAATACAAAAATAGAGACAAATTTGAGATTTTGAATATACTAGCATATACATATTTCCTGCTCAAGAAACAAACTAAAATTGTATATTGAATAATCAAATTCATAGCTAACATCCTCTGATTTGTTTGACTTCTACGTCATTGCTCATCACATAAAAACTCTGTGCAAACACATGTGTTTATCTGAGCAAGCTCAAGTCCAAAGTGCACTTACAAGGATTCGAGCCTCACAGGACAAGAATGGCAAATTTGAAAAAGATAAAATTAAGAAAATACAGTAAATTTTTTATATAGGACATTTCTCTCTTGGTCTCATCAGCTCACTAGAAAACTGTCTTCAGATAAATTACAACTAAGTGAAAAATGTATTAAAAACAAGAAAGTATATGACGATAACACAAATATTGTGTGCTGCCCTTTTGTTGGCGACTTTGACTGCATGAGCTAACTTTTAGAATCTGGTCACTAATCGAATGATCAGGTCAGGTTTGTGAATTAACCTTTTAGATATTAGATATGCCATGTTCATCTGTATATATTCACTATAATCTACACTGTAATATACTGTATATTGTCTGTACTGTATATACTCCACATTCTGTATATATCACACTTGCTGCTCCATGCACTTCTGATTAGATGCTAAACTACATTTCGTTACCTTGTATTTATACATGTGTAATGACAATAAAGTTGAATCTAATCTAATATAATTTCATATAAATAATGAAATTCCCCTATCTGGGATTAGGACATCATCACATTCTGAAGAAAAAATATTATGTTTCTTACTGACTTTTCACAGCAGAACACTGGCTTCTTTCAGTGAGCCTGGGTTATTACTCAAATGCATAATAGAATAATAATGCATGTGGTCTGACTTGCAGCAGGACTATATAAGAATATAGAATGTTAATGCTAATAATGAATTTCCACTAAACTCTCTTAAAAATGTGTGATTGTGAGAATGGCTGCTCTCTTTGCTTTTGCCATGAAGAAAGAATGAGAAGCTTTTATGAATGTTGCAGCTTCCATTATCTAATAACTTTATTGCCCAGACTAAGGTTCACCTACAGTGCACATTACTGGAACAAGCAGGTATATAAAATATCTCTTACGAGAAGTGTAAATGTCATTATCTTTTGATAGTAAATGTATTTTTGAATAAAGGTAGTTACTGCAGCACTTCATAATTTCACATGCATTTCATCAAACATTAAAGCTTTATGGCATTTGTCACTTCATATTCTGTTGTACACCTTTATTGTCATTATAAATCAGCCTGCAACCTAATTTCTGGTCCATCTTTTTTCATTTTAAATTGGATAAAGTGTCCATGACATAATTCATAACACAAACATTTAAAAAAAAATTATAATAATATCTGTCACCCTTAATAATCAGAGTAGCTCATAACATTTTATTTGTATTTTATTTGTATACATTATCAACAGCATGAACAGTAGATGGTGCTGTTTTACACGACAGTACATGCTCCATCCAAAGTCCCCTTTCTCTCACAGGATGGCTTAAGTTTTAACCATTAACACTCAGATGACCTTACCGTAACTCATTGAGCCATCTGGTATGTTTAGGGAAGTTGGTCAACAGCCCACGCTCTGAGGGGAAAAGCTGTTCTCTAAAAGATAAACTATGATCTAAAAACAACAAGGAACTTTAGATTGTACCTTCACAGAAAAGTATTTGTGTATTTATCTGGTTACTTTGATAAGCAAGTCACACGCACTGAATTTGATTAGAGCTATAACTGTAATCTACCCTTTATTGTTTTCTGGAAGTTGATTTTATATTCCTGCTTATCTAGTCTTAGTGATCCCTGTCACCTCACTTTTGTCATTTACACTATGTATAATTAGGTCAACATGAATAAACGCACAAAGTTCATTATGTCTCTGATCTGATGCTTCCTCAGACATTTAACATGTGCTCAATCTTTTTTTAAAAAATGACAAGATACATATATTCTTAGCAAAAATAATTACTTTATTGAATATAATCTTTTAGCTAAAGCTTAACATTTACATTTATTCATTCAGAGTCTTTGTATCTGGTCTGTTTTAGAATTACTTGGTGTACACATGAATAAACTGTGGGATAGGTAAACTGCTTTTCTGTTCTTACAATCAAGATTACAAGGTTGAATGGTCACAAATGAATGTTAATGTTAGTTCAGTAATAAGCAAGATAAACTTCCTTCAATCATTCTTCAAATTCTAAATGCATCTGGTTATTTATTATTTCAGAATATAAAAATTATAACTTTTTCAATTAAGTTATAAAGACTTGATACTCTAAAACCCTGAATTAGTCAGATGAAGTTCAGGACATGATCATAAAAATCACACAAAACGAAAGCAAAAAAAATAATAATAATAAAATCCACAAGCAATCCAAGGAGTGCTTAAATTCAGGTTCAAGTAAAATAAGCTTCCTGAGTTCCTGACTTTGTAGCCTAAGATAAAGATCTATATTTACATACAGTACATCTCATTTCATAGTGCATGGGAAACTGAAAGCCACGTCTTGTCTGATCATCAATTATTAACTAGCTACAATCCCAAGTCCAACCACTCTGCTGTTACAGACAAACATCACTGTGTCTGTTGAAAAAAGAAAAATCCTGCGGTGAGGTCATTTCCGGCGTATCTCAGCGTACTCTGTGCCAGCGGTTGGAGGCATAGGAGGGGGTCTTCTCCCTCTCTTCACATGGTCATTGTAGGTGGGCAGACTGGATGATGGTTGATTGTTGCGTTTTTGCACCTCTGCGTATTCTGTCTGATTCGGTGAAGCCAGCTGCACCACACCACCCTCTTTTTTGACAAACTTGACATCAGCATAATTCACCTCCTAGAATAAAAATGTGGGAGAAATATTAAAGAAACTAGTCTGCATAGGAACAATCGTAATGTCAGTTAGGGCTACAGCAACTAATGGGATCAATAGTGACTGATGGGCTGGTAATATACTAAACCTTATTTATTAACCAACTCTCACTATGTACTGCAGCTTTGAAAAGATTTTGTTTAAGATGGAGAAGTCAAAATGATGAGCAAAAAATGTCACTTTGAAGAACATTTGTGTTAATTTTCTTACAAGAGGTCCACAATTGGCACATTTTAAATTCAACTTGTAGAAAAGAAAACTTCAGTCGACCGAAACGTATAAATATATAAAAAGTGTGCGGGAGCTTTCTTTCTTCTACAAGTTAACTATACATTCTCTTGCACACCTTTCACCTACTCAAGTGTGTAGAGCTGTTTTTATAATGTACATTTTAAATAAAAAATAAAAAAATCTTTAATGAAGACTACCAAAATTTGTTGCAGTTCCAGTATTCATTTGTTCCTGGTTCAAAGTCCAAAATATTATACTGGATTTCATACAGATTTTGTTGCAAGGCTTTAAAGGAAAGGCAAGGCTTTAGGAAAAGTCATTTAACTTTTCTATTATACTGTTTTAGACCATTATCAATTTCAAAGTAGGGTATTGTTTCTGCATTCTTAAAAAAGAAAATTCCCATTCAGTGCAATTAATATTATTGTCCTGAATATAATACTATACTGCACTATCTATAATACTAGAAATAAAAATGTATTTATCATCCAATGATATTTATCCACATGCTCATAGCAATGCTATAGATGTCTTACCTGATTTTGTGCATATGCAGTGTTGTCCCGACCTCCACCATCTTTAAGGTAATAAAACAGAAACATTAAATAATTGCGTTATTAGTAATTGTAATTATTTAACATCTATATTTCTCCTTACCTCTTTGAGTGTTTGGCTCCTCCAGCTTTCGTCTTTTGGGAGAGGATAAGCAAGGACAAGCAAGTTATTTTGTTGTCATTTTTTTGTCAAAAGAAGTATTGATCCAGCTCATAATAATTTACATGGATTTACATGAAAATAACACAAAATTACACAGTGATATTTGTACTACTCACTTTTTCCTGAGAAAGTAGAACACTGTACCACACACGACTAGAGCGAGCACAATTAACCCAAGTACTATTCCAACGATGCAGCCAACTGCACAGCCACTGTTGGAGGGGGTATCTGAAGAGAAATAAGAGCTTAAATTAAATAAGATGATTCACAGCTTCAAACTGCAATTGTAGATTATAGTTTTTATTTTCATCCAAAGTGACATTTGCAAAAACAAGTGAGACAGAAACCCAATCCATCCATCCATTGTTTTATGCAATCTAAAATCAATGTATATCAAGCACACACATGCACGCAGGCACACACACACACACACACACACACACACACACACACACACACACACACACACACACACAGACAAGTCCTTTGCCGTGTGTCAATAGGCCTGTAAGAGGCCTGTTGAGAAAGAGCTTGAAACAGTGTGAACTTATGACAAATACTGCATGTGGTAGAATTGAAAAGAATGTGTTAGAATGAAAGAAATAAAATACAGATTAGAGAGCAAAAATCAATACCAGTTACAAGCACTGTATGTGGTGCCTCAGCTGTTTTCTTTGTGATCTCATTTGAAGCTCGACAGATGTACTCTCCACTGTCTGAAGTTCCAACCATTGATTTAGTATATTCAGATGAGTGAGTGAGAACAGTCCCATTCTTTATCCATGTGTAGTTAGCAGTTGGTACAGAGTCACTCAAGCAGGTTAATTTTAATGTTTCTTTCCCTTGAATCTCTTTTGGACCTGAGATTTGAACATTTTCTGGTCCATCTGAAAAATAACATTGAGTTAAAGGAAATGTTTTACAGTAAATGAATGAAACATAATGTACCCAGACACTTACAGATTACATCCAGAGTGTAAGCAGTTGTCTCAGAGCTGATGGGGTTGCTGATTTCACAGATGTATCTTTCCACTGTCTTTTCTGTTCAGGACTTTAAAAGACAACACTCGTTTTTGGTCATAAAATACAATGTTTTCAGAAGGATTTAGCTCCTGTTCATTTATCGACCACTTTCTGGTGAAGATGGAACCAGAAGCATCACAGGTTAAGTTCAGTGAGGAGCCCTCGATTGGCTCATTGGATGACTCAATATAAATATTTGTGATTCTCTCTGTGGAAGACAAACAAAACAAAATATCTTTATCTATCTAAATATCTAAAATATGTTTCCACACTGGCCATTGATTTTAGTGCTGTGAAGTTGTAAGAGGAGTTGCTGTAGATATAACAAATTGAACAACTGTAATGGGTAAGTTTGAACTCAAATGCAGCACAACTGACAATCGGTACAGTTGACAAGAAGGTTAGAAATGGGCTAACAGGTGGAAACTTGCAGAAGTGTGACAGGATGCCCCTTCTAAGGGACTACAGTCATACCATCCAACAATACAATTTTCATCAGAGACTCCATCTGTTTCTGGGTGGGTAAAGGGAACCCTCCTCTCCAGTAAAAGATTCCGCATTATCAAATTAAGAGGTCAGTCTGGAGTTCTGGAAAACCTGCTTAGACTCGTTGATGCTCAGGACAATCGCTGGGCTGGTCAGGACTGCTAGAGGAAATCATCAGAGAGCTGGTAGTTGAGGATATGATGGATGGAAAATTGTGAAGGATCACCATCTATAACTGGGGGCAAAGTATTTTCTTGCACTGAGTTTACCAAATGTGAAATGTACGATGGACTCTCCTGGACCGAGGAAGTTTGAGCTTAACTGAGATGGGCTTTACCACCTTGATGATCTTGAAGGGTCTTATAAATGTAGGAGCCAACCTTTTACATTGCACTTGTAGTGGTAGATCTCGAATGAGGAGCCATACCTTTTCTTCCACGTGGTAAGTTGGTGCCTTATGCCATTGTCATTTAGCTATAAAGGTGTACTGGTTTACATAATAGAGAAGAGCAGTCCAAGCATGCTTCCACGTCTGACAACAACCTCAAACAGGAGCTTCAGCAGAACATCAGCCTCACTCTGCCCTTGCCGAGAGAAGAAGGCATAAGAGTGGAGTGTCTGATCCTGGATAGACTTCTGTCTGATCCTGGATAGACTTCTGGTAAGCACATCTCCAACTTCTATGTCTTGATGCATCCACTTCAACAATGAATTAATGGTCAGGAACTTGGAGAATGTGAGCTGAAGTGAAATGTGTTTTTAGGATTGTGAATGGGCTACTATAGTGCTTGACCCACTGATTCTGTTGAAATGTTTTTTAACCCCCTGTTGTATTTTTTTCCTTGCATGTCCCTAACAATCATTTGAAAATGGGGAGATTCACCAGTGAACAAACTCACATCTTCATAAATTATTTGAGTGAGTCTGTATTCTAGATCCCAGGTAAGGTCACTCCTGGAGGTTTCTGGACACAGGAGTTTGCACAAAGAACAGGTCTGAAACTGTATTAATTCTTACTCAGCACAGAGATCCTCACAGGCTGAGACGTTGTATATCTGAGAGTTTTGCTGTTGAAAGCCTGACAGCTGTAGTTTCCACTCTGACTCATCTGTATGTTCTTCAGTTGTAACTGTGCTCCAGTAAAAGACAACAGCTCTCCATTTAAAAACCATTTAAACTGAGCTGCAGGTCTGGAGTCAGCTGAGCAGAACAGAGACACGTCTGAACCTTCCTCATAGTGATCAAGAGAAGAAGAAGTCCTCAAACTGACATCATCAGGTCCATCTAAAAATATAAGATATAAATATAAGTTATATAGACATGAGATTGTTTGTGCATTTTAACAGGTAACATCCTTTACTCACAGTTGATGGAGAGTTCTGTTGGGACACTGGTGCTGCTACTGACAGGATTAGACACGTTACATGTGAATGGTCCCTGGTCATAGCGCCACACAGTGTCTATAGTGAGAGTTGCTCCTCCATCAGTGAGGTGCACTCTGTCACTGGCTGTAACTTCAGTGCTGCCGTTTAACCAGAGGAAAGTTGTCAGGTTGGTCCCATCAGCAGAACAGGAGAGAGTCAAAGAACTATTGAATTCCACTAAGTCTGAGCTGCTGACTGTGACTCTCACATTAGACACTGGCTCTGAGGGAGGGGGGACAGTGCATGTTAATCTATATGAAAATACATAATGGTTGGTGTTTTCCTTAGTAAGAGTAAAAAACCACAACACTGCCTTTAACTGATAACAGAAGATTATGATACAAAATGAACTGCCATGAGGAATGAAGGTTAAAAAGTCTGACAAGCCTCAGATTGTATTTAATTTACTGTAGAAAAGATTAAAATAATGATGAATGATTGACTTGTTGTGCATGTTCCAATAATGATAATGAATACAGAAATTAGTATGATGCCAATGTGGAAATAAGACATATGACATAAAATAAATTGTGAATAATAATGCAAACTGTATCATTACCATAAACGTTCAATGTAGTGTCTCCATCTTGTACAAAACCTGCTGGTAAAATGCTAACTCTGTACTCTCCAGTGTCACTAAGAGCCACGTTCTTGAGCTCCAGAGATCCAGTAGAGATGAACAGAGTGATCCTGCCTTCATACTCTGGAGCAGTGAAGTTACCACCAGAACTTGAACTGATGATATTTGTGTCTCCAAATTTCCAGACTATTGATATAAATGGAGTTTGTGTTGGAGTCAGTGATGTGGAGAACATGACTGTCCCTCCAACAGCTGCATTCACAGAGTCAGGTAACACACCAACTCCTGAGACCATACCTGAAATTATAAGTAATATAAACACAATTCAGGAAAACATATCATACTCAGACAAATATGAATAATAATCTAAACTCAATATAATGATTTAATGATTAATGAATGCACAACATTGCACAACAGAAATATTATTAATGAAGCAAAATTATGTTGACCTACCTGTAAAGGCAACAGTAATCCCACAAAATAAAGTGACTAATTCCATTTATATTGTTTGAAAAGCAATGATTTGAAAGCCTTGGGAAATTATCAGAACACTGTTTGAACTCATGTGCTCTGTGTGAGAAACAGAGGACAGTAAAGGTGTGTCTAAAAGTAATGTCGCCCAGCCAGTACAATGTATGCTGTACTCACAGAAGAGGAATGCCCTCTACTGGAGCACTGGAATTGAAGGCATGCTTTTTTTATTTTTTTTAATGTTAGTTGAAGGACAAACAAGCTTCATGTAAGAAGTACGAGAATAGGGTTGTTATTGCCTAAAATTACATTAAAGAATGTTTATGAACCCCCAATAGACCATTTGTTGTTGCTGTCTCTCTGTCGTTGCATGTAAACAGTAGGGCCAGAGCCCAGTGTGTGTGTATTAAACCTTCAGAAAACAATTTTTCTGATCCTTACCTCTATTTTTTTATTATTTTTATTTTTTTTAACAGCAACCAGAAACTCATGATATCAGGAATATTTTGTTATTTACTGTTGAGACTGGTTAGGCAGATGGAGGAGGAGTGACCATGATTTTTCTTATTTTATCAAATGATTATTATCCATGCCACACTTTAGATTTTGCAAAAGTATTTCAGGCAAATTATTATTAAAATTATTTTTCTTATTGTGATAGAGCAGACAAGACTTTTTTTTTTTTTTTTTTTGATTAAAACAATTCAAATGAAGACAAAAGGCATTTAGGTTCAGGTAGATAAATTGAAATTTGAACACGTCAGAAATCTAATGAGATTTTAATTTCTTCTATGCTCTAATCCGTGTATCATTTGTTCATTTGTTTTTCAATATAAAACCAAAAATAAGAAAAGGAAAAAACAACAATTTTCCTCATTATTTGTTTCCAAAACCAAAATGAAAAAAACTGATAACGATTAGTTTTTTCAGTTTTCGATTTTGTGTTTAAATGAATAATGGAAAAAAAATGGCCGTTTCCGTGACTTAAAGTGAGATGCCGGACTGAACCAGGACTGAACCAGGACTGAACCAGAACTGAACCAGAACTGAACTGTTTTCAGTCCTGGTCTGAGTCCTCGACCTGGTTCAGTCCTGATTCAGTCTGACGTCGCAGTTCAAGTCATGTAAATGGGAAACAGCCGTTTTTTCCATTATTCATTTAAACACAAAATCGAAAACTGAAAAAACAAATCGTTATCAGTTTTTTCATTTTTGGTTTAGGAGAAAATAATTGTTTTTTGTTTTCTTATTTTTGGTTATTGAAAAACAAATGAACGAATGATACACGGATTCTAGATACACCAAAATAATTAGTTTATTTAGTTTAGTTCTTTATTTATCAAGGACAATGCACATAAAAAAACAATGACCTACACAGAAGAGGTAATATGTTTGTGCCATTATAGCAAAATTGCTAATTTCCAGCTTCAGTCTCGGACAGGCTGATGTTACAAATGGCATACATGCCAATAAAATACAATGTATATTAATGCAATCATTCATGCAGACAATCAATAAGTACAACCACTCCCAATCACTCTCAGCCCACCACATCCATACGCTATTTACGACTTTACAGTTCATGTTGCTGCATTCATGCAAGGCAGTTTAATGTGTAAAGTTTTTTTGTTTGTTTTTTTTGGTTAAAAGTCATTGTTTGGTCTGTCGTGTAAACATTTCATAATTTGTACATGATATGATTTCATGTGGGAGGATGTTCCGATGGCTTATGGCTCTATAATTTTGACTGACCAAAAGAGGTTCTGCATCTTGGAACTCTGCACTCTCCTCTGGCTGTCGACCGTGTGACTCAGCAGGTCTTCTCTGAAATAAGCACCACAAATTTTCTCAATGGGGGAGCAGCTGAATTATGAATAATTTTAAATAAGGCTAACATTTGATTAAATTTAAGCAAGTTTTCAAAACTTTACATTTTATATTTGACAAGTGTCAAGCAGTGTAGTGGAGCTGTTAAGGACCAAAATAGTGCCTATCACTCCACCTCCTCGTGTTGTCAATAAAGAGTTCTTTTTACTGATGGCTTGCTTAATCTCTATTGTGGCTTGTACAATTTTGAGACTGATAGGATGCCTTTGATGCCAATATCACCAACGCCACCGTCGAACTAAAATAATTAACATAAATGTACAATCAGAAATATAAAGACATAAAATAAAGACAGAACAATTACAAAAAACGTACCTCGCTGCCATATTTTGGAGGTAGAATGACATTTAACATAACTCTATTCACTTTATTTTAACTTTAATTGACTTCTTTGCCGACACGCCACACTACTTTCTTGACCAGGCGTGCGTCTCTATCAAGGGGTCCAGCGGAATCGAACAAAACAATAACAGTTCCTAACTGCTGACTACCAAAATAAAAGCACGAAATCTTCTCTTATGTGCATATTACATATTATTCAAGAATTAAATAAAAAGTAAATCAAAATTATGCAGTGAAACTCCCACCAAATCACATACCTATTGTGATTTCTCAAACATATTACAATTAACAACAATAGAGAACTTATTGCTTATTACTCTGCCTCAAGTAATAACACAGTTTTATGTACAGGTCTATCAAGATATACTGATTTTACAGTCCTTTTTCCATCCTTATCAAGGGTTGAGTCACTGAGTAAAAGCTTGACTTTCCTCACTCGTCCATCTGCGCTGGGATAGATTCCTGTTACTCGTGCAAGCTTCCACTTGTTCCTGGGAGAGTTTTCCTCTTGAAGAATAACAATGTCATTAACCTTTGAGTTTCTCTTTTCCTTTTGCCATATTTGCTGTTGTTGAAGGTTCAGAAGATACTGCTTCTTCCACCGTGTCCAGAATGCATTTGTAAGAAACTGAACTTGGCACCATCTCTTTCTTAGGTACAAGTCCTGGTTTACGAACTCACCAGGAGGGGGCAGTATAATGTTGAACTTCATCATAAGAATATGATTGGGTGTCAGTGGTTCAACACTAGTTGGTCATTTAGGTTTCTCTACCGTTAATGGTCTGCTATTCACACCACAAGCCATAACTTCATAAAGAAATGTTCTAAGGGAGGTACTATCAAGTCTCTTGGAGGTTTGATCAAGAATGGCTGTTAACACACTTCTAATAGTTCTTATTTGCCTCTCCCAAACATCTCCCATGTGGCTTGATGAAGGAGTGTTTAGGACAAACTCACATCCGTATTGTTTCAACTGCTCTTGGTCAAAGTCTTTCATAGCATTTAAAAACTCTCCCTTAGCACCTACAAAATTTGTGCCTTGGTCACATCTAATTTGTCTTACATGTCCACGAATAGCAATAAAGCAACGAAAAGCATTAATAAAAGCATCACTGGTAAGGTCATCTAACATTTCAATATGTATTGCCCTAGAACACATACAAGTAAAAAGAAGACCATACCTTTTCAACTCTTTTCTGCCCTCTTTAACATAAAAGGGTCCAAAACAGTCAATACCACAGTAAGAGAATGGAGGTGTCATCTCCACTCTGGCAGATCTGACATACGCTGATCTTGTGTACTTCTCCTGTACTTACGACAGCTTGTGCACTTGTGGATGTGTGAAGCGACTGCACTGCTACATCCTATGATCCATAGTCCATTGGAGCGCAGCTCGTTTGCTGTTATTCCTCTTCCCTGGTGATGCACCCTTTCATGATAGTGTTTCATGACTTGATTTAGGTATGATGGCCGGATGTTTAATATGCGGGTGAAGGCATGATCTGGTTAAATGTCCTCCCACCATGAGTACTCCTTGCTCATCAACAAAGGGGCTTAGTTTGTACAGCTTGTGTGTGTTATCTTGGAGCTGAATGTCTTTTCCTAGAGATAAACTTTGGATTTCCTTGCAAAATGCATTGTCTTGTACCAGTTTTATTATAAACAGTTCTGCTTCTTGTCTGTCCTGAATACTTGTGTGTGTTTCACCCTTTGTTTGTGTGACACCTTTAAAGTCTTTCACAAATTTTCTTAAACACGCAATGGCTTTAACAGCTCTTCTCCAATCTGAGCATTTTGTGAGGCGGTCTAGTATTGTTCTCTCTCCTTGCTGTGTGTTAGTGTTGAGCACATGCACTGTTTTTAACTCTGGATCACATGGCATAATTTCAGTAACTTGGACATTTTCAGTGTGTAGCTCACTTTGCCACAAAAACTCTGGACCTTTGAACCAGTTTGAGTTAAGGAGCTGCTGAACATTTAAACCTCTTGATGCATGATCAGCAGGGTTACTTTCAGATGGCACATGATGCCACTGTTGTGGGTCTGTGAGTGACCTTATTCTTTGAATCCTATTTGCCACAAACACGTGGAATCTCTTTGCATCATTATTCACATAACCTAACACAACTTTAGAATCAGTCCAAAAATGTTCTTGTAGGTCACTTATCTCCAGTTCATTTCTGAGCATTATACTTGTTTTTGCTGCGACTTCTGCAGCTGTTAATTTGAGTCTAGGGACGGTAGTAACTTTAGTAGGCCTTTCCCAATACTAGGGCACAATGAACATCACCTTTGGATGTAACAGTTCTTAGATAACTACACTGTCCGTAGCCTGTGACGCTACCATCCGAAAAGTGGTGTAGTTCACACTGCTTGATGTCTGTGTTTGTAGGTAAGAAACATCTCTGAATTCTCACCTTTGACAAGTTCTGAAGATCTTGAAACCAGGATTCCCACTGGATTTGAAGTTGGTCTGAGAGTGGTTCATCCCATCCAGCTTTCTCTTGGCATAACTGTTGCAGGATTTGCTTCCCCTTTAAGATGAACGGTGCTACAAATCCCAACGGGTCATAGACTGAAGCTACGGTGCACAGGACTCCTCTTCTTGTCATAGGGTGCTCTTTCACTGTTATTCGGAACTGAAACTCATCAGAAGACACGCACCACTGCACACCAAGAGCTCTTTCCAGGAGTGACTCTCCAAATGCTAAGTCCAGATCTTTAACGCTTTCAGCACACTCTTCTTTGGGTAGTGATTTTAACACATTTTCAATGTTTGATATGAATTTCTGGAGTCTTAGTTTACCTGTTGTACAAAGCTCTCTTGCTTCTTTGACTAAATGTATTGCTTCTTCTTCTGACATCACACTGACAAGC